TTTTCCACTTGATTCATAGAATTCTTTCTCATTCTTTCTCACAGTCACATTGATAAATGCCAAATGAATAGGGTAAACACTAGGTTTTGTTGTTTATCTTTCATTCTCTATGAGGACCATGACATCAGGGCGGTGATGCCATGACATGCAAGCGAATTGGATTTAAGTGAGGGAGGGCAGTACAAATACACCAGCATCACTTTCTCCTCCAGAGCCATCTGAGTTCAGTGGCAAGGAGTTTAGAAGAAGGCATGTCCCTACAAGCTATTCTGGCAAAGTTAGACAAATAACTGCCAACTCTCTTAATGCTGGGGTAGATGGTTTGCACTTCAATTGTAACAAGAGGAAAATCAGATGCTTCCTTTCTTGTACTTAAAACCAAGAGAAAGAAGTGTTTTGTGACATTTGAGTTTGAGTGCAAAAGAATCAAGACTGAGGAAATTAGCTACAGCAGTTGAACTTTTATCTTTGGAAGTCTTGGTATCAGGTTGATCTTTACCAATTCGAAATAGAAATAGAAAATGGAATATGTCTAGGCTAGGGAAAAAGGCCATTCCAGAATTGGCATGGAAAGAAAAAGAATTTTCAATAGTACAGCAAACTGGCATGATATTGGAAGCTATAGGCTAAATTTAAGACTGCTGCCAGATGGGATGTTCAGTGGAGAGAAGAGATAACTCAGAAGAATCACCACACAGTTAATTCTAAAGCATATGTATTGATTGTAAAGCTTATACACATGTCCATTTGGTTTCTAATTTTATAATTTATAACTAAAAATCTGTCTAAGAGGTAACTTTTTTAAAAGTGGGTAGCACCAATCAAGGTTCAATCAACATACATTTATTAAGCACTAACTTTGTGCCTGGCACAAAGGCATTGGTGATACAGTTTAAAAAGTGAGACAGTCCTTGCACTTTTCTCTGATGTGTATGTGAGGGAATACATGTTTACTGATAAATAAGTAAAGGATATATACAAGGAAAAGCGAGAGATGAACAATGGGGCGTGGAGGGGGGAGGAAAGGTCCTTGAAGACAGTAGCTCTTGAGTTACTAGAAGCAGAAGTGAAGAGGGAATGAGGGCAGGGAGCCCATGCAAAGCTACAAAGGGATGTTATGTATGGGGAACAGCAAGTGGATCACCAGTTTGGCTACAGTGTGTTGTGTGAATGGGAATAATGAATCTGAAGGGGTAGAATGCAGCTATACTGTGAAGAGCTTTAGATATTAAAAAAAAAAGAATTAATATTTTATCTTGAAGATGGGGAGGCACTAAAGCGTTTTGAGCAGCCAACTGCCACGGTTAGACCTTTGCTTTAGGAATGTTTATCGAGAGGTAGTCAAGATGGCAGAGGGATAGGAAGTATTAAAGTCTAGCTCATTCCTCAACAAAGATAAAGAGAATATACCAGACTGAATTCTGATTGGAGAAGCCAAGAAGTCACAGGAAGTCATTTTTCTAGTCCTAGGGGGCTTAGGGAGATGGACAGAGAGGTCTATAGTCATTGGGGAGGGGGTCCCACTAGGAGCATACACAGCTGGAGCATTTCAGAACCCAGGGAAGGAGAGAAGACTGATTCTGGGCACCAGGACAGGAAATTTCCAGGGGTCTCTTTCTGTCCCTGAGTTTCTTTATTTTCTTCTATTTTTTTTTCATAATTTTGACTTTATTATTTCTGGATGTCTAATGGAATTTCCACTTGGCCATTTTCTAATTTTCAAGGAGCTATTTTCTTCAGTAAAGTTCTGTACCTTTTTTACCCGTTATTTTTCATACATTTATAATACATACAATGATTCTCTTTTTCATATCTTTCTTTCCTAGCTCTTACCTCTTTTCCCATTCTTTCCCCTCTATTCTCATTTAGTTTTTAAAATGATTTTTTGCTATTTCTTTTAGGAATCCTTGTTGAACTTGTGTACAAGCTGCATTTTTCTTTAAGACTTTGCTTATAGATTTTTGGGAGTTGTTCTCTTCTTCTGTGCTTGTGTCTTGAGCTTACCCGTCACTACAGTAGCTCTTTATCATGAGATTCTTTTTTTGTTTGCTTCTTCCTTTGCTGTGAATTCATCTTTTTCATTTTTGATATGGTAATTTGATTTTATTCTTTATTTTTAAGAAAATCAAACTACTTGATGGTTTATTTTATCATTTGTTTTTAGAAAAAAAGAGCTCCTAGTTTTATTTTTTAGTTTAGTGGTATTTTTACTTTCAATTTTGTTCACCTCTCCTTTGATTTTCAGGACTCCTATTTTGGTGTTTAACTAGAATTTTTAAACTTGTGGTTTTCTAGTTTTTTAAGTTACATGCCCAACTGAGCACAATAACCAACCACAACCCCTAAGGACTTATGATGAAGCATGCTATCCATTCCAGACAGAAAGCTGGTGGAGTTAGAGCATAGAGTGAACCATATTTTTAGAGTGAAGGTTGAACCATAGTTTCTTCTCTTTCTTTTTTTGAACATGGCTGATATGGGAATTTTTTTGCATGAGTATATATATTTATAATAGGTTTGTTTTTCTTGTCTTTTCAATTGGTGGGGGAAAAGGAACACAGAGGGAGAGAATTCTGTACTGAAAATAAAATAAAATTGTGTAAAAAATGAATTTTGACTTGGCAGTTGTGTGAAAGATAGACTGGAGAAGAGACATAATAGAAGGAGGGGGGCTTATAAATTGGGTTACTGCATGATGAAGGCCTGAACTAGGATGTTTGTGGTACAAGTAGAGAGAAGGCAACAGAAGCAATGGCTATTGGGAGTAACTAATTATATACAGTGTAATAGAGAGATAATAAAGAGCTGAAAATGATCCATCAGCTTTGAACATAGGTTCCTAGAAGAATGATGGTGCCCTTGACATAAAAAAAGGGAAGTCAGAAGGAGGTATAGGTTTGGGGGAAAGATAAAGATAATTTCATGGCAGAATTTTTTTGTTTGAGAGATTGGGAAAGGCTTTTAAAAGAGTTATATATAGTACCTTTTTATAGCTAACATTTGTTTGTTTTAAATCTTGCAGTTACTTAAAAAAGATCTTTGGAGTAATGACTAAGTATTTAATCAGATACAATCCATCAATCTAAAAAATATATGGAATCAACATTCTTTATTACTTATTTATTTTGCCTATCTTTTGACAATATCACTACCCTGGTATAAGCCCTCCTCACCTCCTGTCTTGACTATTGCAATGACCTTTCGGTTGTCCTCCTTGCCTCAAGTGTCTCCTTTCTATCACATCTTCCACTCAAGTACCAAAGTAGTCTTCCTAAAGAACAGTTCTGACCAGTTCACTCTTTTCCTCAATAAACTCCAATAACCAATGAAACCCCCTATTACCTCTAGAATCAAAAATAAAATTATTGGTTAGGCTTTTGAAGTCCTTCATAATCTGGCCCCTCCTACCTTTCCAGTATTTTTATACTTTTCTTTCCTCCATATAGTGACACTGAAGATCTAGTGACACTCTCTTCTTTGATCTTTCTTGAACAAGACATTCAATTTCTTAACACTGGGTATTTTCATTGGCTGTCCACCTGTCTGGAATTCTCTCGGGCCTCACTCTAACTCCTGCCCTCCCTGGGTTCTTTCATGTCCCAGCTAAAATCTCATCTTCTGCAAGAAACTTTTCTGGATCTCCCTTAATCCCAGTGCATTCCCTGTAATTATCTCCAATTTATCTTGTACATATTGTTTGTACCTAGCTGTTCACACCTTGTCTCCCTCGGGCCTAGTTTTTGCCTTCTTTGTATCCCCAGACTCAGCACAGTGCCTGGCAAACTGTATATGCTTAATAAATGCTTGTTGACTTGATTTGCATTATGGGATCAAAGATCAGAAGTGGAATACCTCTTACCCCCCCCATTTTACAGATGAGAGACAAAAAGACTTGTCCAAACAAGGTCATATCGAAAGTAAATGGCAGACCCAGGATTCAAACTCAGGTCGACTTACTCCAACATAAGCCTTTCCAATTAAAAATGGGCCAAGAGCTATCTAAGTAGAGGGCAGGAAGGTCCTAAGAGCATGGGGGGGAGGGAGATAAGAGGCTATCATTTATAATTTTCCTGGTTATCATTTTTCAAATACACCACCAGCATTAGTAGTTAAAGTAAATGGGAAATTCACTTTTCAATTCCATTAGTTTGCAAAGTTAACACCCCTGAACGGGGTGACGGAGCAAAATGTCACTAGAGACCCTGACAGCATCCCCCTAAGAGCGGATGCAGTTTAAAGAGGTCCGACAGTTCCCTTCCACCGCGTGCACACTTCCTGATTTGCAGCGGAGTGAGATCACGAGTGGGGGTGTGGGTGAAGCCAGGCCGTCGGCGTTTCCGATCAGTACCGTGGGGGCGGGTGGGTGCCTCTGGGCAGCTACACCGTGTCCCTGGCGCACCTAGTGCCTCCCTCGCCCGCCCGCTCGCAGGGGGCGCCCTTCTGCCAGCAGCTGTGCAGGGCAGGGAGGAGGGGCGCCCTCTCTCCCCGTCCCGGTACTTACGAAAGAATCGCTCACCACCAGCACCACATTCGGTACCAAGGGATCACGGGCTGTTACCCTCTGGGGAGAAGGCCACCCTGGGCCCGCTCCTTCCTCCAGTCTACCTGCCCATGGGGCCGGGGCGGCCGGAGCCAGACCCGTAGAAGTGGCCACCATCAGTACCACACCAACTGACCACCATTGCATCTCCCCACCGGGCCGTAGGCCTCACCCTCCCCTTCTCAGTCCTAGGACACAGCCGGAAGTGCACCCCCGGACTGAGTAGGTTCTGGCAGGCCCTGCGCACTGCTTTGACCTGTTTCCTAGGAACAGGACCGCTACTTCAAGCCCTCTTCCTCTGAATGAACCACTTCACGATGCCCAAAGGAGGTGGGGGCAGAACTACAACTCCCGGTAGGCCCTAGGGACGCACAGACGCCTGACGTAACTTGACTGGAAGCTTGTTCCCTCCCTCCCCCGCCCCACCCCAATCCCTCTGCTCGTAGTTGTTCGTTCTGAGGCTAGGTTGGGACACGTGGTCCTGTCTTGAGGAAATACGCATGCGCCCTGACCCTTGGGCGGAAGGCGGCTGGAGTAAGGTAGATGTAGGAAAAAATGAATCGGGGTCTTCTTGGAGGGGACGGCTTAGGGACTTTTAGGGGGGCAGCCCGTCTGCAGTAGGAGGGGACTAAAGAGGGGGCCCGGGATCGCCCCTCTTGTGACCCTAGGAGAAGCCTGAGCCGGCTGCGGGCAGGACTCGCCGAGGTGGCGGCGGGCCGCCTGCCAGCGGCGTTGAATGGGGCAGGGGCTGGAGGGGCCTTCTCTGGGGCTCCCCCCACCCCAGGCCTCGGACGCTGCGGGCGGCCTCCCACTGCTGGGCTTCCCCGCCGCCCCGGGGCCGCTACCTCCCCGAGGGGGGTGATGGTGGGGCTCAGGGCACAACCTCACTTTTCCAGGTGTAAGAATACGGGGAATGAGGGTGGCACCGGGAGAAAACATCTCCTCCTTCTGCCCAGAAGAAGGATTTGATTATGTGACCTCCCCCCACCTCCCAGGGTGGTTGTGGGGAGAGCAAAACGCTGTATCCACAAACGTGAGCTATTATGTGACGTTTCCTTATCTGACGTTGGTTCAGAAAGTCATTCTTTTGTTGATACAGCTTCTCTCCTTCTTGAACTTTCTTCCTTGGAAGGATGCAGAAGGAAGCAGAGCTCTGACATTTCTGACTCCTTATCTTAATTTCAGGTATGTAGCTTTTAAATCGTGCCAGTTACCAGTAGTTTTAAAATGTTCAGTAATAGCGATAGTTCACATTTAAGTTTACTAACAATATCATTATGGAGTGGTAGTGTATTTTTTTTTTTTTTGGAGGGGGGTAGGACAGCGTGGTGTATTGGATGTAGTACGGACTGGAAGTCATGAAGACCTGGTTCAAATGTTATCTCAGACACTTTGTAGCTGTGTGACGTTGGGCAAGTCCCTTAACCTTAGTAGGCTTGAGATTCCTCATCTGGAAAATGAGGCCTTGGGATTTGACTTATAGAGGTCCTTCCCACCCTAAATCTGTGATCTGTTTCATTGATGTAGAGGTTCCTGGATGAGAAAACTCCCTCTACCAGTGCACTGCAAAGTAATAAGACTTTCCCATGTTCACAATCAATATGTGTCAGAGGTGGATTGTGAATCCAGATCTTATTGATTATGAGTCTGCTCTCTGTCCACTACACTGTATTGCCCCTCTGTGAGTTGTTATCCTGATTTTACAGATGAGTAAATGATTTTCAGAGAACTTAAATTACTTTGTCTGAGGTCATAAAAAAAACAAACTACATTCTTTTAAACAGCTGTTTTTAAATCTAATGTTCCAAAATATCAGGGAGGCATGGTCCAGTAGAAATAGCCTTGACTCTGAGTATAGAAAACATGTTCAAATCCTGCTTCTGCTATTACCTGTACAACCTGATATTACCAAGTATCATCTGATACCGCTGATATTACCTAGTAATACTTAGTATTACCTAGTAGCTCCAATATTACCTGAATCAGAAGACCTGGCTTGTCTAAGTCTGTAAAAATAATGTCAAGAATACTAAGGCCTGGAATGACCTGATGCTGAAAAGGAAATCTAAGAATGTGTAAGATTGCCTAAGGATTTTGGAACTATGATGAAAAAGATAGGGCAGCACTACTTAATTCTGATTTTGCTTCTCTTTTCTCTACAAAGACTAAGGTTCTTTGACTGAAAAAGGCAAAAATGACTAACAGGCAGGGAAAAATAATTAAGGAGATAGTAAGAGTACCAGAGCCAGATGAACTGCATGCTTATGTACTGAAAAAAAAAATTGTCAGATATGATTGTTGAGTTGGTGTCAGTGAATTTTGAGATATGGAGAACAAGAGAGGTACTGCAGGACTCAGGGGAAAGCGTCCCAATTTTCAAGAAAAATGAGAATAAAGTCTACAGAATAGTTGTCATTGAGCCAGACTCTTAATTTCTGACAGAACTTTGAAATGAGTTATTCAGGTGATGGTTAGTGAATATGTGGAAAAGGAAACAGTATTCATCAAGAGTGAACATGGCTTCAGGAACAGATTGGGTAGGACATGACCTCTGTATGTGATGTTTTTGTTTAATTTTTTTATCTTTTTTCAAATGGGATTCAGTCTGTCTGGAAGAAGGAATGGGGAATTAGTATAATGTTCAGATAAAAGATATCAATAAAACATTTAAAATAAAAGGTAAGAAACTAAAAATAAAACAGATTAGGCCAAATTACTCTCATTCCCCCCCCCCCCCCCGGGTTATCAGGCTCTTAGATTTGAGGAATGATTCGATTTTAGTAAAGTATTTGACAGTTTCATGCTATTCTTATGGATAAAGTTGGTAAATTTGGGTAGAGCTAGGTGGATTCAAAACCGGTTTAATGAGTAGTCCTTAATGTTTCAAGTCAATTTGGAAGGAGGTCTCTAGTAAAGTACCTTGGGAAGTTGTCTTGGCCTTGTGTTGTTTTAACATTTTTATTAGTCTTTCAGTCATCAAGCATTTATTAGGTGCTTATTATGTAAGCACTAGGCTTTTTGCTAAGCTCTGCTCCCTGTGCTGAAGGGTTTCACATTCTAATGAGAAAGACAATATGTATTTTTTTCAATTGTTCATTTTATTTTTCATTTAACAAGCATTTTCTCTTCCCCTTTCCACTTAAAAGAAACACAAAACCCTTGTAACAAACATGCATAGGCAGGTAAAATATATTGCCTTATTTTCTATATTAAAAAATTGATGTTTCAGTCTCCATCTTGAATCTTTCTCTTCTCTGTCTGGAGATGGGTAGCATAGTTCAGCGTCAGGCCTTTGGAATTATGGTTGATTATTACATTAGTCAGAGTTGTTAAAGTTTATCAAAATTGTATTTACAGTGTTGTTGTTGTATTAAATTGTTCTCCTGTTTTTGCTCATCTTACTCTGCATCAGTTCATCCAAGGAGAAGACAACATGCAAATAGCTAAGCACACACACACATACACACACAATGTCTAGTGCAAATTGGAGATAATCTCAGAGAGAAAGCGCTTGGCTACTTAGGGAATCGTTAAAGATCTCCTTTGGGAAGAAGGGAGCCAGGAAGGGGAAATGAGGAGAGAGAACATTAGATTGCTTACATATCAAATTTGTAGATGAAAGAAAGCTAGGATGGATAGCTAATGTTAAATGATAAAGTCAGGATACAGAAAGATCTTTTACAGACTTGAATCTAATGAGATAACATTTAATAGGGATAAATGTAAAGTCTTAAACTTGTTTAGTCCTCCCAGCTTTTCAAGTTCATTGCTCCTACTGTGGCCTCACTATCCTCCATATGTTATTTTTATATATAATAAATATATATATATAATATAATAGTTAAAGTAATTTGACTTAAGTAGTCCACACTGCTCCCTACCTTAGAATACTTTATCCCTTTCTTCTACTACTATTTATCCCTTTCTGAATCTAACCCCTACATTACCGCTTTCGTCTGACCTTTCTGCTCCCATGCTGCTGGAGAAAGTTGTAAGGGAAGGGAGAAAGCGTTTATGTAGCACTTACTGTCTTCTGGGCAGTGTGCTAAGCACTTTACAAATATTACCTTATTTGATCTTCTCAGCAACCCTTCAAGGTAGGTGCTATTGTTATCCCCATTTTACAGATGGGGAAACTGAGGCAATAAGAGGTTAAGTGACTTGCCCAATGTCACATAGCTATTAAGTCTGAGGCCAGATCTGAACTCAGGTCTTCCTGATTCCAGGCCCAGTGTTTTTATCCATTGTGCTGTCTAGCTGCCTCCAGCTTGTTTGAACAAACATATTGACAGGTCCACTATAATTTTATCTAATCTCAACTGGGCCCTTTCTCATACATGGCATTGCGTTTACTTCTCTAAGATTGACTGTGGTTCATCTTCTAACAGTTTTTCCTAAATCTTTCCTCATTTGCCTAGCCCATCTTCTCCTTTCTCAGGAGAGGAACTCATTATTTTACTGAAAAAATTGAAGTCATCTCTCTGAAAGAGCCTCTTCTCAGTTCTTCACTTCAGATCCCTTCAACATGATTCTCATTTCCTTTGATTTTGCTTCAGTTTCTGATGAATATGTAGCCCTCTACGTATTACTTCTATAATTTTGCCTCCTCTCCCCTGTGCTCTGGGAGCTTGTCTTTTCAGGCATTTTGTACTCCCCCTCTACTTGTCAGTCTTTCCTTATCCACTGACTTTTTCTGCCTACCGACAAATGTGATGAGCTCTCCTCTGTCCTTGGTCTTCACTTGACCATGCCATTACCTTAACCTAACTAATATGCTTTATCCCTGCTCCCTTTCACAGCCAAATTCTTAAGAAAAAAAAAACTGTACTTGTTGCTTTTACTTTTTTACCTCTTATTTACTTCACAGCTTCTTAACAATCTGACTTCTAGTCCCTGTACTTGACTGAAGTTCTTAGCAAGATCACCAATAATAACATTGCTTAATTCAGTGAATAGACTCTTCTCAGTCCTCATCCTTTTTGACCTCTCTGTAGCACTTGACACTTTGATCACTTTCTCTTCTCAGATACTCTTTATTCTCTGGATTTTTTTGACACTATTGTCTCTTGTTTCTATATTTTGTGTAAGTGCTGTTTCTCATTCTTTCTCCTTTTCTGAATCAACATCAGTGTTATGCCCCCCATATATGTGGATATACTTCAGTCCCCTAGGTCTTCTCTTTTTACACTTTCTTGGTTATCTTGTCAATTCCCATGGGTTCAATTGTCCTCTTTATGCAGTTGACTAGCCAACCTACATCTTAAATATCTGTTAACATTCTGTATCACCAACTAACTGCTGTAGGTCTCCTCTCAGATCTCTCAGAGACATCTTAAATGCCATATGGCCAAAACAGCACTCCTTATCTTTCCCCTGAGGGTACCACCAATCTATTCAACTGTTTCACCTCACTCACAGTTCACTCCTTTCCCTCTGTCCTGTCAATTCAATCCCCATTACATCTCTTGTATCCATCTTTCCTCTTCCTTCCACTCATACAGCTATCACCCTCATTGGATCTTTTTCAGTTCTCTGTACTACTGCAGGAGCCTCCTGATTGGTTTTACTCTAGGTTTTCCCTGTCTAATCCATTTTTGCAACTGTCAAAATTGGTATTCCTAAAGCATAAGCCAGCCCATGTCTCTCCCTTTCTCAAAAAGTTTCAGTGGCTCTCTAAGCTCTTTATAATCTAGCTCCATTCTATCTTTCCAGATTTACTTTACTATTTCTACCTTCCAGCCAAATTACTCCTTGTTTTCTGTACACAATCTTCCATCCCTTTGCACAGCGTGTGCTTTGGGGCTTTAAATGCTCTGTCTTCTTTGATCTACTGTGTAAAATCCCTCATGTCCTGTAAAGAACAACATGGCTGCCACCTATTGTAAGGACTCTTTGCTGACATCCTCCCAGTGTTAGTGTCTCTCTTCTTCCCTCTCTTCTTTTTGATATATTTTTATTTATTTTTGTTTTTCTCTGCTTCTTGACTCAAGGGCAGAAACTTGCTTTTATCCTGGGCATATAGCACGATACCTGGCATGTAGCAGACACAAATAGATACTTATTGAATTGAACTGAAATACAGTGGGAGAAGATTGATAATTTCTGGGTGTATATGTGATCTTAGATTTTGTACTGGAGGAGATCTCAGTGGTCATCTGGTACTAACCCTCTCATTTTACAAATGAGAAACCAGGTAGACTGGCAAAGTAATTTGCCCAAGTTTACCCAGGTGATAAGTGGCAGAACCAGGATACTAATCTAGCCAAGAGCCCTCTGACTCTAAATGCAGAATTCTTTCCATGCATCATGCTGCTCAAGTATGAATTCAGTAATTAAGTCTTAGATTAAAAATAAAATAGATATAAATCGATCAGTTGTTTATGTCATTTTCCATCTTATAGTTTATTGACTAAGTCTTTGGCATACTTTTTAAGTCAATAAGCACGAATTTATTAAGTGCTTCCTATGTGCCAAGTATGTGCTTAGCCCTGGAGGGATAAGTACAAGGAAAAAAAAGTACTCCCTGTCTCCTTAAAGCAAGTCCCCCTACTCAGGGGCATAGTGGTAAAATCCTGAGAATCAAAAGCAGAACCCAGAGAGGAATGATTTTTGGTTGGCCTGGGAGAAGCTTACCGTGAGGAAAAAGAGGGTGAAGGGCAGAGGGATGTTCTAGGATGAGAGGGAGGCTGAGGCTTACTGAAGGAGTCTGGAGTGAAGCCTGGCTGACTTTAGGCCTTAAGTCTCTCCTCTCCTAATGTACTTTAATTGCTTAGCTGCTCTAAATTAGGCAATCAGCTAATTTGATCCATTTTTAAGAAAATTTGAAATTTTAGGTTTCAGGATCTTGAATTTCATGTCTTATTTGTTACATTTAACTAGATGAAGGATGGATGAAATGCTGTCTGAAATTCTGTCCAGCAAGATAAAAGATAGAAGTGATGATAGTGGTCCAAAGGTAAGCACATAGACTACCTGGTGATGGTTTGAGCTTTACATTTCAGCAAAAAGGTTTAAGATTTGATGTATCTCTTTATAGACTGTAAGATCCTCGAGTGAAAGGACTTGTATTTTGATGGTGTGTCCCCAAGACCCTCTTTGTGTTGGCATAGAGTCAAATACTTACCCCTTCACGTAAATGTTGGAGTCAGTCTTGACTCTTCTCTCCCCCTCAAACTCTGCATCTCATTGGTTATTAATTCTGATTGATTCAGCCTTTATAGACCATTGGTGTAGAGGCTGTTGTGTAGGAGTAGGAATGATTTTAGAATGACTTTGGTTTGAACCTGCCCCAAATACTTTTGTTTGCCTCAATTCCCTCATCTGTAAAATGGGGATAGTAATGGTACCTACTTCCCAGGGTGGTTGTAAGGATCAGATGAGATAAGTGTAAAGCACTTAGCATAGTGCCTGGTACATTGTAAGTGCTGTATAAATGTTAGCTATTATTATTACTGTTATTATCCTCTTATCTCTACTTCATGGCCATTTCTACTGTAGTCCAGGTAGTCATAACCTCTCATTCAGACTATTGTATTACCTCCTGGTTAGTCTCCCTGCTTCTAGTCTTCCTTGTCTCTATTCCTTCCTGTTCATTCTGTTACATTCTTACACCAAAATGCCTTTAGCCTCTCCCAGTCAATAGATAACCACTTTTTCCCAGTTCTTTGCTATTACCAAAAAATGCTGCTGTAAATATCCTGGTAAAGAGAAAAGCTTTATTTCTGTCTTTGATCTCCTTGGGGACTATGCCTAACAGTGGGATTTCTGTATCAAAGACTATAGATCCATTAATCACTTTTCTAGCATAACTCTAAAATGCTTGCTGGAATGATCAGACCAATTCACAGCTCCATCAACAGGGAACTAATGTGCTTCTTTCCGTATTCTCTTCTATATTGACTATTCCCATCTTTTACCATCTTCACCAGCTTGTTGGGTGTTTTTGTAAGGCATGGATCTCACCATATTATTCTCTGCTCAGAATGTTCAGTGGCTCCCTATTGCTTCCAGGAAAAATGGTAACTCCTCAGCCTATTATTTAAATCCCTCTACAATCTGCCTCCAGTGTACCTTTCCAGAATTAATTCATTGCTTCATTTGTTCATGCATTCTCTCTTCTAGCCACATTGGCCTCTTAGTTGGTACCCACACTTGGCTTTCTATCTCCCATACCTGTTTCTTTGTGGAGGCAGCTGACCTCCATGGCTAAAGTGCTCTCCCTCATTATTTCTGTTTCTTATAGTCATTGGCTTCTTTTAAGACTCAGCTTAGCTTCTTCGTGAAACATTTTCATGATTCCCAGAGTTGTTAGTCTTCTCTCCTTCCTCAAATTACCTTTTGTTTATTCACTCCCTACATGTTTTATGTTCGTAGCAGAATGTAGGCTCTTTGGCAGCAGGAGTATTTTGTTTTTGTCTCTGTATTCCCAACAGCCAGCATAGTGCTTTGCAAATAGTAGAAATTTAATTTGTAAAAGACTTACTGTTTTATACTAATAAAAAGAGAAATGCAACTCTGAGGTTTCAACTTACACCCAACAAGTTGGTGCAGATGGTAAAAGGTGGGAATAGTTAATATTGAAGAGACTATGTAAAGAAGCACATTAGTTCCCTGTTGATGGAGCTGTGAATTGGTCTGATCATTCCAGCAAGCATTTTAGAGTTATGCTAGAAAAGTGATTAATGGATCTATAGTCTTTGATGCAGAAATCCTACTGTTAGGCATAGTCCCCAAGGAGATCAAAGACAGAAATAAAGCTTTTCTCTTTACCAGGATATTTACAGCAGCATTTTTTGGTAGTAGCAAAGAACTGGGAAAAAGTGGTTATCTATTGATTGGGGAGAGGCTAAAGGCATACTGGTGTAAGAATGTCACAGAATGAACTAATACAAAATGAAATAACCAGAAGAGACAACATAATATACTCAATGACTGTAACAGTATAAATGAAAAGAACCAAAATTAAACCCAAACTGAAGGCTGTGTAATTGTAATGCCCAAGCTTAGCTCTAAAGAAGAGATGGAAAAAAAATTCACATCCATTCCTTCTTTACAGATATGAGTGACTTTGAGTGTGGAACATTTAATATGTTGTCAGAATTGGTTAATGTGCTAGTTTTGCTGAATTTTTTTCCTTCTCTTTCATTTTTTTCTTATGACGAGTAGTTCTTTGGATAAAGGAGGGATATTTTTGGAAGTGAAGATTATGTTAAAACAAAAGATAAGCAATAAAAATTTTAAAAATTGAATAATAAAAAGATATTAATAGGATTCTTACCTCCCCCCCCAAAAGAATCACTGATTTAAAAGTATATCATAGTCCTCCTAAAGTGGTTTGAAAAGGAGGGAGGAAAGATAATTACATATAAAGGAAATTTTAGCAACTAGTACCTTGGAGAATAAATTAAAAGCAGGTGTCACCATGGGGCACCTAGGTGGTGTGATGGATAAAATGCCTGGCCTGGAGTTAGGAAGACTGACCTGACTCAGCCTGGGGTGCTTAATCAGTTCTTTTTCATTCATTAAGTGCCAATATGTATGAAGCACTGGACCAGATACTACAGGTACAAAGATTAAAAAATGGCATAGCTCTTGTCTTTAAACATCATATAGTATTCTACTTGGAGGAATAGAACATGAAGACCTACATATAGTACAAGTTGCAGCAAAGGAGATGCCTAGACAAAGAGCTCTAGGGACATTTTGACTAGGGAGACAATATTCTAGGGAACCATTGAGTTGAGAGCCAGCCAGTGGCAGGTTGAACACTTTTTTGAATTAAATGAAGAAAAAGATTAGGAAGAAAAGAACAAGAGGCTTAATCTAGAACATGAAACATTTAGTTTATAGACTAAGAAACTTCACTGATGTGAAAGGTTGCTAAATATTTTAGGTCATCAGTAAAGAAGTGTTTTGGGGAGGTGGGGCGCCCTTTAGAGGACTTTACATCTTACTTGTGTAAGAACTGCTGTGCTGGTTCACTGTTGTCTGTTACATGAAGTACAAACTTTTGTTGTCTGACTTTTGAGGTCCGCTAAAATTTGTCTCCATCTTCTTTATAATTAGGCTTGTTTTCTCACTGTCTTTTATATATTCCATACTCATTGCTATTTCTATTCATAATCATTTGTCCCCTGGACTGTTCTTCATCCTTCCCTGTGAAAAAATAAATTAATTTTTCTGGACGTAGTTGAGCTCTTTCCTTTCCATGAAGCCATTTTGTGTTTGTGTTTATTCTAGCCCATAGAGATCTCTTTCTTCTCTAAGAACCACATAGTTTAATAGTTTATTATTCTAAAATGGTTTCACATGTGTTTTATGTCCTTCGATGGGAAGCTTCTTGGGTTCATGTCTTTTTGTATCACCTGATAACAGCAATAAGTGACATATGGTGCCTAAAGTACTTTACAAATACATTATCTTGTTTGATCCTCACAACAACCTAGAGAGTATAAGTACTAAGGTTATTATTAACTCCATTTTATGGATGAGGAAACAGAGACACAAAGAGGTCAAGTCACAAATGGTCTGAGACAGAATTTGAACCTGGATCCTTCTACATTGCAAGCCTAGCAATCTGTCCACTACCTTGCTATTTTTTAGAGCCCACTAAAGCATGAAATTAAATACTCAGTAGTTATTGGTTGTTTCTTTTGTATCCTTTTAAAGACGTGATACTGTCTAAATATTGGGAAGGTCATTTAGCAAACAGATGTTGCTTGCCTAGTCTGTGCACAGTATTAGGCTTCTTTGGCAGTGGGAAAGATCATACTTTTAAGAGCATATATGGTGCTTCAGAGTCTGCAGACATTTTGCAGGTATTTGCATATGCCTCTCACAGCAACCTTTTAAAGTAGGTGCTCTTATTTTGCCCATTTTAAAATTAAGTAAACTGAGGCTGAGAACAGTTAAATAAGTTCCTGGGAACATATTTGGTGCCTGAGGTGGGATTCAGACCCAGGTCTTCCTGCCCCACAAGATGAAAAAGTGAATAAAGCATCTTCACTGCCTTCAAGAAACTTATCATGTAGGGCAGAGGAGAGATAAACACAAATAACTGTATAATGCAAATTGAAATATAAGTAGAAGGGAATGAAATTTAGAACTGGAAGGCAACTTGAATATTATCTAAACTGCCTTCATTTTATCGATGAGGATCAAATGAAATAATTTATGCCAAGCGCATTGCAAACCTTAAAGCTCTGTGTAAATGCCAGCTCTTTGAGATGAAGCAGCTATGGGGCAGAGAGCGTAAGTGATCTTCCCAAGGTCACATGGGTAGTAAGTAATAGAGCATTTGACTCCAAGACCAGTGTTTTCACTGTATCACTCTGTGGTACATGATATTTAAGAGAAGTATAAGTATGAACGTTTGGAGAAGGATGGGTTAAGAATTTGAGTTTGTCTTTTAAGGGAAGGGGTAGGATTTTAGGAGTTGGAGTCAGGGCATTTCAAGGAGATGGGGGTGATACTAGCAAATGGCAAGTTGGTCAACTTGGCTTGATTGTAGGAAATATGTACTACGTTTGCTGCAAGGTGGCAAAGGGAATTTAGAGCTAGATTGTAGAAGACTTTGCTAGACTAAGAAGTTTTGTATTTTATCCAGATAGGCAATAGGGAACTATTGAAGCTTTTTAGGCAGGAGTGCAATCAAAACTCTGTATTAAGTATGTTAGTTCAACCGTCATATGTAGAATAGATTGGGGGAGGGAAGAGACCAGGTTCTTTCAGTGGGTCAGGCAAGAAGTGATGGGAGGAGAAATGGAAAGGAAGGGATGAATGCAAGAAACCTGTTGGAACTTGATTTTGGGGTTTATTTATTTTAAAATTCTGGAATTTTTTAAATGGTCCCTTTCGTTTTGCCATTTTTTTTTGTATTTCCTTCGTATTTGCCAAATATTCAATACTATTTGTCAGAAAAATCTAAAATAACAATGATTATTTTTCTTAGTTTGCAGCTATTTTTACCAAAGGATTCTTCAGCTTGAAGAAATTTTAGTGTGAATTTCACATTAAAATTTACTGGCCTCTCCAATCAAGGTTTATAATCCTTTAAAAAAAAGCGATAACTGCACTTATAAATTTAAGTCAAGAAAATTGTCAGGTAAGATCATGACGTAAAAATGACCAAAGTCATATTTTAAAAAATTGTATGTCTGGTTGTAGCCATAAAAAAGTCTCATTCCTGCTTCTTAAATAGCATTAAATCCAGATTGCAGGCAAGTAATTTATATAGTAGCTATCTTTTTGCTTCTTGTTAACTTCAGCTTTTATTGGTACCTTATGTTAGGTGGAGGATTACTTTCCTGGCCTCGGTTTTCTACCTCTTGAGATTTTCCTCAACTATTTTGACACCTCTTGTTGGATATAAGGAGGTTAGAAAGACTTAGGGGGCCTAATAGTTTGATTTTTTTGCTTTATTAATACTGCTGCTCTTTTGTTTCTGCTTAACTTTTCTCCCAGCGTCATTGAGAGAGTAGATTTTAAGTGAGTAGGCCATGCAAAGATGATAAAAAATTTTTTTAATACTAAGCTGAAGTTTAATAGAACTTTATTTACTAGGAAACAAATATGGTTTGTGATGGATTAAAAAAATTGTTACAGCAAAATGATGAATTTAGATAACTTATAGAATGTTCAAGTTACATGCTTAAGAGTAAATTTCCTACATTCCAAATTGAGTTTTCTTTTTATTGCTAAAATTACTGAAGAAGCTTTTTTGAACTTTTTGCCTTGTTTCCTTTCATGTGGAAGCATGCATTTACTTTGTCTGAAGTGCTAGTGAAGGAAATAAATAAGTGACTTGCCTAAGGTCACACAGCTAATACCTATCTGAAGCTGAATTTGAACTCAGATTTTCCTGTCTCTGGTCCCAGCACCCTTGCCACTGCCCTGTCTCCATCTTACACATGTGCAAAATTTGGTATGACACAGAGCATCCCACTTCACCTGTTTTAAAAGTAAATAACTTAAATGGGTATGAAATGTTGAAGGATGGACACTAGATAAATCCAAGACATTGTTATTGGTAATAGATAATAAAGTTGATTCTATGGGGGATAAAATGCTCATTTTTAAGCAGATGAACTGTTTCATGTTTTGAACTCTTCAGAGAAAAGATATTCAAATCTCTTAAAATAAGGTTGATACTGTGTGTCAGTATAGGATTTTAGTAGATAAAATCTTGGCTCTACATAGTCTAGGCTCTGAGTTTATTTACCTCTGTAATTGAGAATTTTTGTAGGGGAGAGATGTAAGATTGGAACAAAATGGAAATATGTGTAATTTTTAAAAATTATTATGGATCTAAAACCTCTGTTTTGGTAACAGAAAAATCAATCAGAGAATCAAATAATTTCTAGAGGTGGAAGAATCTTAAAAAGTCATCTCATTCAACTTTAGTCCTTATCCAAAGTATGAATTTGATTTCCAAAATGTCTAGTAAGTGACTTTAAAGCCTTTCCTTGAAATTATGGAGAACTTTGTATTCCGGAACCAACCCTTTCCATTTTTCGACAACTCTGTTAAAAACCAAAATTTGCAGCTCTTTAAAAATCTTCCTATTGTTCTTCCTTTTGTGTTCTGGGCCAAGCACAACAAAGCTAATCTCTCTTCCACCTGATAGTCTTTTAATATCTGAGCACAGCTGTTTGGGCCCCACTCTCTTCTCCATGGTAACTGTTCTTAGCTTCTCCGGCTGATGTAGTTTGTGGCTTAATGTCTCCTTTCCCCCTCTAGAAATCTTCCTTAGTATACATTGTAACTTTTCAGTGGCCCTTCTACAGTGCGCTATTCAGAATTGGTTACCGTAATAACAATTCACATTTATATAAAAATGGTACCTTCCAGTTTGTTAAGAACTTATTTCAGGATGCTGTGCATTGTAGTGGAAATAGAACATAAATTGGAGTCAAAGGATCTGGGTTCAAATCCTGACTGCAGGTTACTGCATATATGACTTTGAGCAAGTTACTTTATGAACCTGTTTTCTCATATGAAATAAGTGACCTCTAACATCTCTGCTAGCCAGATCCTCTGATCCCCGTTTTACACTTGAGAAAACTGAGGTTTGGAGAGCTAAAACGAGGATTTAGATCACATTTTCTGATTTAAGTGTAGTATTGATTCCTCCGTACCATATTTGTCTGATGGGATTTAGTTTGATGAAATTCTGTTTGCTGTCACCTAAGATTACATTACTTTATTGGCCTATAATATCACACTTCTCACTCACTTAACTTAATAGTCTATTAAAACTCACAGGTCTATGTGAAATACTTTGTAGCCACATCTTTCCCTATGATAATGCCTTTAGGGTAATATTAACTTTGCTTTTAAAACTCTTTGCAGCCTAGCCTCAATCTGCCTTTCTAGTTTAATTACACATCATTCCCCCTTTACATGTTCTAGATTCTTGCTGTTTCTCACATATGACATTCACTTTCCTGTCTTTGTGCCTTTGCGTGGCTGACTCCATGCCTGAAATACTGTATTCTCTTTCTCTGCTTGGTACAATCCCTTTCTTCTTTCATGAATCAGCTCAAGTACTACTTTTTCATAAATCCCATCTCCCCAACTGCTAGTGGCCTCCTCCTCCAGACAGCCTTACAGTTATTCTGAGTAGAAGTATATGTATGTGTTGTCTCCCCTGATAGAATGTAATCCCTTTGAGAGTGGAGGCCAGTTCATTTTTTGTATTTGCATCCCCAATGCTTAATGCAGTACTAGATTCATTGTCATTGTGTAGTAAATGCCTGTTGAGTGATTGATTTACTCTCTATACTGTAACCAGTGTAGATAGTAAACCTAGGCTTAGGCCTGTAAATTTATCCCTGCTAAGTTTCATCTTCAAATTTTAGCTTTGTTAGGATGTTGGGGCACCCATTCTGCCATTCCATGAGTTATTCCCTCTACTCCTTTGTTTTTTTCTTTGCATTTTTGATAAGTATGTCATCTATACTTTTATCCAACTTGTTGATAAAATATCAGCCAGATCCAGGCCAAAGACAGAGCTCTGTTCAAGTGGTTTGAACTCAGCTTTATGGTAAGGATGATGAATTGAAAAATAACAAGTGAATCCTGCTTCCTTTTTTGGCTTTAAGTTTATTTCCTCAAATTACACTTCTTTCCTTCATATAAAGCTGTGAAGTTTCTTGGGTATAATTGCTAAAATAGAAGTGCAAATCTCCAAGCTCAGTTTTGACAAATTAAAATCTATTTCAGTTAATTTTGTAATATATCTTATGACTTAAGTCTTAGTTATGTGGTAAGTTCTCTGTGTGTGTTTAATCCCTTAGGAAAGTCACGATTTATCTCTGGCTTTGCTTTTATATGTCTCCCTGAGGAATTTATGCAGATGAGAGATTGGCAGTAATTTTTTAAGACTTTAAAGCCTAAAATGTGTGTGTGGTGGGTGAGGGGGTGGATTTTCTCATTAAATGGAATAATTCCTTACCATTTTGATTTCCCATACCTATTTCCATACCAAAGGTTACCCCTGTTTAGTGTTACCTGGTTTTAAAAATCTTAACCATTTTTGATGGGAAGCTTCTTAAAATGTAATTCTTCTGGCCTCTGATTAACTATGTTTTGGGTATAGTGTTGTGGGAATTCCTTTTAGGTGTGGGCAGAAGTAATAATTAGCTGCTGAGTTCTTTTTCAACTTAGAAATTCTGTGATTTCATGATTATTTCTCTTTCCTCCCTAGGTAACTAAAAAAAACCCCAATACTTTAATATGAAAACAAGCAGTCTTTTACACAACTTGATAAACTGACATTGTTTTTGTATAATTAATGTTCATAATAATGATTGAATTATCAAGAAAAGGCTAAACCATGTTTAGTAAGTTCATAGAACAAGGGTATGTAAGATAAATCACCTGTTACTTTTCCATTGCTTCATATTTCTGGTTGCTATACAGTATAACTTTGTTAAAATTAATAGTGGCCCAGGGAAACCAAGTAGCCAAGTTTGTTAAATCATTAACCTTAATTTCATATTATAACAATGTCGAGGTACCAGTTTCATCTCTTTCTCACAGAGCAAAGTTCATGGATTTTTGAAAGCTTTGTTCTAGTATTCCTGAAAGTTACTTCCAAGTGACATACTGTATTATGTAAATTAAAGTTGCTGGAAATCTATCTCCTGGATAAGTGGGATGTTACTATAATGTCATTTCTTCTTGTTAATAGGATGTCAAATAAGCAGGTGAAGACAGCATTGAAAAGTGCCAGAGATGCAATAAGAAACAAAGAATATAAGGAAGCTTTAAAGCATTGTAAGGTAATAGAACTCTTCCAGTTTTCCTAAAATTAATTGTATTATCAACTCATTTATAGGCACTATGAGTTTGCATATTAACTGATCACATATAGCCTAAACACACAAAAAATTTATAAACATTAAGTTGATTAATTTTGATTGGAGATAAGTGGTAAAACATATCCTTGCCTAAGTCAGAGTTGGCTGTTGCCTTCAGTTTCCAATTCATCTGAGTTTTTAAATGGCTCGAATATTATACTGTTTTTTTCGAAAGAGCTATAAAGCCCATTTGCCAAAAAAGATACCTCAGTCAGTCAGCTAGTAGTTTTCAGGCGCCTCTTGTCGCACTTAAAGGCACCATTTGAAGTACTGGGTGTATAAAGAAAGTCAGAAAACAGTCCCTGATCTGGAGGAGCTCATAGACTTTGTATATGTGATAATTTCCTCCTGTAATCATGTACATGTAAGACTTTGTTGTGTGTAATAATTTATTCAGTTGAATGAACATATTGCTAAGTTATAGTTCCTGCAGCGAGGAATTTATATTATTTGTGTACTGTAGATACTGAATGTGACACTGCTTGCTTTTTATTGTTAGAACGTCTAGGTGGAAGAAGACCTGAGTTCTAATCATGCCTCAGATACTTATTAGTTCTCTGACCTAGGCAAGAGACTTTACCTCTGTCCACCTCAGTTTCCTCATCTGTAAAATGAAGATAAGAACAGCACCTACTTACTGGGGTTGTTGTGAGACTCGAATGAGGTAGCATTTTTGTGATGCCATGTACTTTCCATCTAGAGCCTTAAGTTTGGAAACCGGGACAATATATTTTTTAGTCCAGTGATGAAAGGGCAGGTAATGAGGAAAGAACATTGGTGCATGGTGGCTTGTGCTTCCTTGGGCCCTTGATGGTAATGAACTACTAGGCATTGTTTCACTTAATGACGGTAGGTTAATGTAGTAGGTTCCTGGAAGAGAAAGCCTAAAATTACTAAGGGTGTGTCTTCGCAGTCGACTTCTTAAACTATCTTTGTGTTTGTGGGACAGTAAGTGATGGTAGTATGTTTTTAGTTTTGTAGGTTTTTCCAAATGTCACAGGTTCCAGAAATCTTCTTTTGCCTAGAGAACTTAAGCACTTGTCACATTAATGATTTTCATCTTAGCGTTATTAACAAGTTAATATGTTACTGACTCATTTGCAGATACTCAGTACCTGAATATGAAATGACCAGAAATAAGGCCTGTCAGATACATGAAAATTATGTGTTTTGACTCTAATCTGGATGAACATACTCCTGATAACCCAGTGGTAAAAGTTAAGGCATCTACACATGAATAAACCAAATCTTCTTACCAAACAACATCAGAATAAAAATAGCTGTGTAGCAACAACAAAAAGGATTGAGATAGTTCTTTTGAGTTAATTGTAGCAAGATTAAATTTACAGTTCTTTGACAAACCAAAATTTTCATGAAATGGTAAAAGAGAAATGTTTGTCTTGCTGCCTGTCTTCTCTGATACTGTCCTGGTTGAGACATTACCTTCTCGCCTAAATTATTATGCCAGTTTCTTAACTGGTTTTACCTCTAGTTTCCTCTTTTCTCAAATCCTTACACTGATACCATAATCATGAATGAATGAATGAAAAAGCACTTATTATGTACAATGTACTGGGCATACAAATAGAGAAAGCAGGACAGTATTTGCTCTCCAGATGCTCCCATTCTAACAGGAAGAGACAACACACTCATAGCAAGTATTAGTTGCACGTCCGTAGAGTGCAGTAGCAAAGCAGATGGTGAAGTATCTTCTCTGATGCCATTTTCCCTAATAAAACCATATTAACTTCTGATGTTGAACCATTTGATGGTGCTAAGGATTTTAGTGGCAAGAACTTTTGTTTTCCAGTTACAAAGAGTTGGACACGACTGAAACGAGTAAACAACAAACAACAAAAGTCACCATCACTTATGCTCACAATAGTCTGTCTCCCATTTTCTGCCTTCAAGGGATACCTTAAGCATCACCTCCATGAAGCATTTTCTCATCTTCTTTCCCTCTCTTACAGGAAATCTCTTTTTTTTTGTTTCTTTCCTTTGCATTTATCACATTATTCTTTTTATAAGTTATCTGTCTGCATATCCTTTCTACTAGATTTTCTACTAATAGCTAATAATAATGCTAACATTTATGTAGTACATACTATCAACCAGGCACTGTACTAAAACACTTTACAATTATTATCTCATTTGAGCCTCAAAACTACCCTAGTTGGTAGGTGCTGTTGTTATCTCCATTTTACAAATGATGCAATTGAGGCAAACAGAGGTTAAGTGACTTGCCCAGGTTCACACAGCTAGTAAGTATCTGAGACTAGATTTGAACTCAGATCCTCTTGACTCCAGGCCCAGCACTCTATCCTCTGTACCACCTAACCGCCCCAAGATTATAAACTCCTTAATGGGGGTAAGGATTATGTCTTCTCATCTTTTTAAACCTACCCCTTGTTCATTATCTTGCAAAACCAGATATAGGAATTTAGTATACTGGTCATTTGAATTTTACTACAACATTTCCACTAAAGTCCTCATTGTGTCTTAGTGGTCTTGATTTTGAAAGGCTGTGCCAAAAGTACTGGCACTCTGGAAGATCCTATCAAGCTAGAAAATCTAAAATATGGGAATGGGAACAGATTTTGTTTTTTATCTGTGAGCCAGTCTAGCTTAGTTTTGCATAGCCTTCAAACCAACTACTCTTAGGATGGTGAATTTTTTGACCATTAGAACATTTGAAGACCATCTACCAAGTTAAAGGTGGATTGCAGTCTGCACTGTTGAAAGGATAAGATAAAACAGCTCCTTGAAGTATACATGAAATTACACACTAATAGATGCTTTATTAATTTTACATTAATACATGCTAATAGATGTTTTATTAAGTGTTTGCGTTAGCGTTATACAGTATACTATGTAAAAAGATACTTGCACAGCATCACCAAGTAGCCTGCAATTTAAAGTAGTCATGTTCAGCTGAGAAAAAAAAGTCACAGACTGGAGAAAGTATTTAATTTGAAAAGGCTTATCCATCTTATGTAGCATTGGGAATGCAGATCAGCGTGAAGCTATATGAATATCTGATACTGAAATGGCTTCACCATAACACATTTGCTATGATTCTGTCGATCTCCTGGGCACATATTTGTATAATTCCTTCCATCCATGGTGTGGGTGTTTTTCAGTAGGTGGTATGATCCTTTCTTGATGGTAATTGAACTTGTTTAGTAGACTAGTGCCAGGGGCAGATTGTTGCTAGAGATGTCTTGTAGACAACAAAAATACAAACTATTCTTACTGTAAAAATTGTGGAATTGTGGATCATCTCTAGATAACACATAAGTAGTTCACAGAAATACAGCATATTAGAACTAGGAAGGACCTTTGAGAACATTTAATTCATTGTCCTTCATTTTACTAGTGAAGGAACTAAGGCCTCGAGACGTTAAATAACTTGACTACAATCACACAGTTATCAATTTGAGAATCACATTTGAACCCAGGTCTTCTGACTCCAAGGCTAATGTTTTCCACAACACACAATTTACTAGGATACTGAGATTTTTTTCCCTCTCCTTGATCAACCTGACTTTTAGTGGCTGTCATTTGTAAATGCAGCAATCCCTGCATTAAGTTCTTCTGTGAGGTAACAGAAAAATAAATATTCATGGTAATGATATATGGCACAGAATACCCACACTACTGCACAATTATACCTAATGAAGATTGTATATACAGGTTTGGGATCATGATAAATAGAAATAATGGTGGAATAAGTCGAAGGGAACTGTCAGATGAGGAGTTGAGTTTTATGGGTTAGAATGAGATGAAATCTGGAATTAAGTAAATGTGAGGATGAAGATGAAGTTTTAGGTAATTTACTTTGTTTTAAATTTTTAGAAATTGGATTTTACTAAGTCTGGCTTGTGGTATTTGGGGAATCTTCCATTCTAAAAAGAAATTGATCAGTTCTCAATGTCTTTATTCAATTTACTTTTTACAGTGAATTTTCAGTTCCAGGCTAGTTTCCTCATATCAATCTTGAGGGAATGCAAACCAATTTTAATATTAATTTAGTTATAGACAAGAAGGCAAATTGAAGACAGATAAAATTACATAAATGTATTTTAAAATCAAATATATTTTATAAAATAACGTACGCTCTTAAATTGGTTGATGTGTTTTGGGAGATAGGTGGGTTTGGTCTGATTTAATGAATTACTTTTATGTCTCTGAGCAGACCGTATTGAAACAAGAGAAGAATAACTACAATGCCTGGGTTTTTATTGGAGTGGCAGCAGCTGAACTGGAACAGCCTGATCAAGCCCAGGGGGCCTACAGGAAAGCAGCTGAACTAGAACCAGACCAGTTATTGGCCTGGCAGGTACGTGGGATGTTGGATGAGTGTTTGTGCTGTGTTTTCAGAGGACTAGCTAGCTTATTACTGATCTCAGGATAGAGGTAATAGGATAAATCAAAGATACATTCAGACCTCAGAGCTTGGATCTGAAATATTCTGAGTAGAATAATCTTTTTTTATTTTATTTTATTATTTATTTATCTGTTTATCTATCTATCTATCTATCTATTTATTTATTTTTAGGCAATTGGGGCGGAGTGACTTGCCCAGGGTCATACAGCTAGTAAGTGTCAAGTGTTTGGTCTGAGGCTGGATTTGAACTCAGGTCCTCCTGACTTCAGGGCTGGTGCTCTATCCACTTCGCCACCTAGTTGCCCCCTGAATGATCTTTTAAATGACACAATTTGGCATTCGGCTTGATTATATTATTGCTGATTCATTTACAAACCTGAAAAGTTTAATTGTAAATTCACCAAAAAGTTCTTATAGAAATTCCTATTCTTTTTAGTATCCTTGTAGGAAATTGAATTAAAAACATTTATTGAAGAAAAATTTGTCAGTCACATATTTTAATAATTGAATACATTTTAGTTGTGTTTTGTATATTGATGTTTTTACTATTGCTTATGATATTCTCCAAATCTTTCCTGGTTTAACTTCTTTTTACTAATATATGCATAAATTATTCATATCTTGGTTTACTGTTTTCTGCAAAAGAATAGAATGAGACATGGACTCTAGGGAACTTGTTTATTAAGACCTCTTGATGAGGACATTTCACCATAAAACCAGAAGGGACCTTAGATTCCCTTCCTACCCTCTTACTCCATAAGAGGAAATGAAATTTTAAACGTCAGGTGACTTGCACAAACTCATACAGCTAATAAGTGGCAGAGATGGGATTTTAACTTAGGGGGACTTCTGATTCTAGAACATGTGTTCTTTTCTTATACTATACTGCTTTTCCAAGTGAAAGTATTTTTATATTACTACACTTAGAACATCTAATTGCTTTTATAGTCTAATGGCTGTTGAAGAGTGAGGCAAAAAAAAAATGCTGTTTTTGCTTGCTTTTGTGATAGAACACAATATCATACAGGCCATACTATTTTGGGATTTGGGGATTGTGTTATAACCTTTATCATAGAAATGTTGCAAATGATCTATCAACTTTAATCAGTGATGTACGCATTTAAGGAAATTTCATATGTTAAATATTGTACGTTTTTGGAAAACTGATTGACTGCTCATTCATTTAGGGGTTAGCAAGTTTATATGAGAAATCTAACTATACAGATGCCAAAGATGACTTGATCACTGTCTACCAAAAGCTTTTGGATCTCTATGAAAGGTAATGAACATATGGTAAAAGACTGTTTACTTGGTAAGCTCAAATTAGAATAAGCTGTTGATTGAAAACTTTATGTAAGTGACTTAGACATTGAGAATCAGACTTTTTCTTTTAAAGGAATGCCGTAGAGTCCTTTAACTCCACAGAGATTTTAGCCTGTTGGTGGGGGCACCATCTCTGCTAGTGCAGGTCACAACCTCTTCAATGCCTTAAGCAGATCCTGTTTGAGTTTCTTTGTCCATGCCTTTCTAGAAATCTTCCCAAGATATTATAATCTTACGAAATATAAACATAGCTTAATTTTACAAATAAATATTAATATGAAATATTAATTCACAACATTGAACAGCCTAAAATTTTGACCCTTTGTTTTGGAGACAGTTATTTAGGCTCACTTCTGTATGAAAATATTGCTTATAATATGAGAGTTTAGCTGTTGTCTAAAATAGCACCCAGTAAATAACACTAAGTGTTGTTGCAAATTTTGGGGATTGTTTTTTCAACTACTTTAAGATATTTCTGTTTTTTTCAAGTGTTGACAAGCAGAAGTGGTGTGATGTCTGTAAGAAGCTTGTGGATCTCTATCACCAAGAAAAGAAATACCTGGAGGTTGGTTAGTAATTTTCTGGGGGTGCTAGATTTGGTTGCTATAAAGCCGTTATCAAAGTTATTTAACTTTTAATTTAAATTTTAAAAGTCTTACAATAGTTTAATGCAACTGAATTTCCAAATTTTGAAGTTTTCAGAGCTTATGCTGTAAACCATTGAGAAGAGAAGGGAGTAGTTTTACCTGTAGTGTCTTTTCCATATTTCTAACATAAGGGTAGTATGGATTTGAATCCTTTAAAAAAAAATCTACTCTAATGTATCATTGAAGTGCCCTTTATTCTTGAAGGCTTTGCCAGAGTAGTGCAAGCTCTGATGGGTTCCATAATGCTGGAAAGGCTTTGAGGAACATGACAAAAATGAAATTGATAGTGTTTTAAAATAATAATAATAATAATAATAATAATGATAATAGTAGCTAAAATTTATGTAGGGCTTCCTGTGTGCCAGGAACTATGCTAAGTGCTTTACAATTATTATCTTATTTGATCATTAGAGCAACCTTGGGAGGTAGGTGCCATTGTTATCCCCATTTTACAGATAAGGAAACTGAAGCAAATAGAGGTTGAGTAACTTCCCTAGGGTCACACTGCTAGTAAGTGTCTGAGGCCAGATTTGAACTCAGATCCTCCTGACTCCAAGCTCAGCATTCTATCTACTGTGCCACCTTGCTGCCCCTAAAAAGCCCTGATTATATATTGATTACTGTTACTATTATAGCATCATTTCTGAATTAGCTGTTTGTATATAATCAGGTAATAGACTTGTTATAATAAAGATCAAAATTAATACAAAGCTGGAAGAAAGAATAAAATAAAAAAAAAAGATTTGCAATGAAAACCACTCTGACCTGACCTATTTAAAAAAATTATTAACAACAAAAAATGGAATCTGGACTGAAGAAAGAATCCAAAAACAGTCTATAACTATAATTATTTGCACAAGTTTAACTGATGAAATTCATTTTACATAATGAGGAGAGCAAAAGACCCCCAAAAGAACCTTTCTCAAATGCTTGACTTCTTGCAGGTAAAGAGATAAAGCATCCAAGGACAGCAGCAGTTTAGAATATAAACCCATTTGTAAAATGTTAGAGAAAAGTTTGTTTGAAAACTATATATATGCACTGTTGCTTCATAAAATAGCAAAGCTGTGAAGGGTACAACCCGTTTAATGATATCTTTAATAAAAATGAAATCAAGCAACCCAGTTAAGCAAAGGCACTCTGAGAGCATTTAAGGATGAAACTGAAAGGATGTCAGCAAACAACGAAAAGGTGGAAAAGATCTACAAAGATAAAAAAAAAAACAACAAAAAAAACAACCCATCTTTTTTTTTCAGTACCAGGGAAACTCTATATAGCTTTTACATTTGGACTTTACCATCACCTTTCCAGATATACTTATAAGAGAGGTAAGATTATATGAAAGAGAACAAAGATGGGAAAAGCAGCTGGATTAGGCCAAGTGTACTTGGAGAGTTCTGTAAGAGGGGAGAGGAGTGTTTGAGCATTTGTGACATTGTTCCTTTCTGGCTCTCCTCCTGACTCTCTGGCTGCTTCTCAATCTCCTTTGTTGGATCATCATTTGTATACTACTCCCTCTTTGTGGGTGCATCTCAGGGCTCTGACCAGGGCCCTCTTTATTCTTGACCCTCTCTTTGCTGGTGATCTTATTAGCTTCCATGGATTCATTTACCATGTCTATGCAGACAGCTCTGAGATCTCTATATTCAGACCCAGTCTCATCTTGAAATCTAGTCCTATCTCACCAGCTACCTAGTAGGCATCAGCAATCTGAATGTCCTGTAGATATCGCAAGCTCACTATGTCTAGAAACAGAATTTATCTTTCCCTTAAATGCTCCCCTCATTCTAACTTCCTTATTTCTGTTGATGGGTTCACCATTCTTATTGTGACCCAGTTACACAACCTTAGAGTCATCCTCAACTCTTCCCTGGTGCTATAGGCGAAAGAGCAGTGGCTCTGAAGTGAGAGATCCCATCTTAGATGCTTCCTTGCCTGAGTGACCTTTGGCAACCTGTTTAATCTCCCTGAACCTCTGTTTCCTCATTTGTAAAATGAATGGGCCTCTAGGTGGCCTTTAAGAGTTTTATGATCCTATGGTCTAACTGATTTTCTTCTCATACAACTACCACACTAGTTCAGATCTTCATTATCTCTCTTGTATCATTGTATGTATCTCCCATTTGGCCTTTCTGCGTCCATTCCCCCTTCTTTCCAATCCATTCTCCACACAGCTGCCAGATTAATACACCTAAAGTATGGATCTGACCATATGATTTCCCTGGTCAAGAAACTCCAGGTCAAAATATACTGCTATATGTATTTAAAAAGAGAAAATATAAACTCTTATGTATTTTAAAGCCTTTCAGAAGCTGACTTTAACCTGTATTTCCTGGCTTTCTGGCACAGTACTTCCCCTTCCACATTCCAGTGAAATTGGAATGCTTGATGTCCCCCATATATGCCCGTCCATTTCTGTGATTCTGCATAGGCTTGTCCCCTTATTGCTTGTAACGCTCTCTCTCACCTCTGCTTCATGAAATGCCTGCTCTTGTCAAGGCTCAGTTTAGGAGCCATCTCCTCCAGGAACTGTAGTCCAATTGTCTCTGTTACTGGTGCTCTCTTCCAGAAATTGCTTTGTATTTACTTTGTATATGTTTTGTATTTAATTTTCTGTGTACATGTTGATTCCCCCAATAAGCTGTAAGCTTCTTGAAGATAGAGACTTTTATTTATTTATTTTTTGATCTTTGCATTCCCAGCAACTAGCATAGTGCCTGGCACATAATAGGGTCTTAATAAATGTTTGTTGAATGGAGTGGATTTGTTTCATCTCATTTCAGTTGAAGTCTAGAATGTCTGCTTCTTTTAATTATCATTTTAAAAACCTATTTAGAATTAATTGATAAAAATAAAGTTCAGAATATTAACTTGGTCAGTTTATGACCAAGCTTTTCATTTTTTGGAATACTATATCATTTCTTTTTTTGGCAGATGGCTCAAACATGGCACAGACTTATCAAAGCAAGAAGGGACGATGGTGCAGAGAAAAAAGAGGTTTACCAGCTGTGGATAAAGTTAACTCAGTTATTGGCTGAGAGTACTGAAGAAGAAAATGATGAAATTCAGCAATTGGTAATTTTATTTTACATATATAATGTATATGTATATACATATATATTATATATTTATATAGTTCACAGAATTTCAGAGTTGAAAGGTTCTTTATGTTTGTTCAATTAAATAAATACTTGTTATTGATCTCAGTAGCCATTTAGTTCAACCTCTATTCTGAGTTAAATACCTTCTGTCACAAACTCAATAAATAATCATTTGGCTTTTGATTATAAACCTCAATGAGGGGAAACTCACTACCTCCGGAGATAGTCCATCCTACTTCTGGATAGCTCTTCTGAGGAAGTTTTTCCTGAAATCAACAGCCTTTCTTCTTTTGAAGTCCACTCAATCAAAATTTCTAGCCAATGTGAATTATAGTAGTTGTGATATTTCCAACACCCAGGCATTCTCCCTTTTCTTGAGGAGTCATTACCTGGTTCACCATCTTCCTTTATTCCCCACCTCTTGCCTTATACTGGGAGACTTTAGTATCTACTTAGAGGTTGTTTCAAACTCCACATCATTTCTCACCTCTATCTCCTCTTTATTCACGCAGCTACCACTTTATTGCATCTTGCCTAGATTATTTCGGCAGCCTTCAAATTGAGCTTTTGGCTTTAAGCCTTTCTTCATGCCACTGTTCCTTCACCATTGCTATTGGAATTTTCCCCAAGTGAAGGTCTGACTGTGTGATTCTCCTACTTAGTCAACTCCAGTGGCTTCCTATTGCTTATAATATAAAATAGAAATTCCTTTCATTAGTTTCTAAAGCCCTTCACATTGTAGCTCTAACCTCTCTATTTTTGTTGGACATTATTCTTCCTCCTTCACTCTGACCCACTGTCCTTCTCTCTGTTTTCACATGTAACATTCTATCTCTGTATCGTTGCACTGGATGTTCCCATTACTAGAATGTATTCTTTTAAGACCCTGCTCAATCACCAACTTCTTCATGAAGCCTGTCCTGATGCACCCAACTATTAGTGACCTCCTCCCTCTCAAACTACCTTCTATTTAACTGTTTTTTATACATTGTATGTTTTAACCTTATATTTATACTGTATATTTCTTCATGCATAATTGTTGTTTCTTCAATTAACTTCATTCTTTTTACTTGTATCCCCAGGGCCTTTCACATAATAGGCACATAATAAAAACTTATTGATTGATTGGCAGTGTGTTGCAGCCTGCTCATGTGCACATGTGGTTCTTTGGTGTCCCTTGGCCCTACATTTTAATATTCAGAGAGAGTCTTATAAAGAATTTGTAGAGGTGAAAGAAGTAAGCACTTGAGGCAGTAGTTGTCACTTTTTTTTTTGTGGGGGCAGGGAAGCAATAAAATAAGAAATGTTTTTCCAAGTCTTTAGTGTCCTTCCCTCAGTGAAAAAATGAATATGTGGTAAAAGTTAATATTAGCAAAAAAAGTATTTCATAGTTTCATAGGATTTTCTATTTAGAATCTTGTAGTTGATAAAGGGAGTCCCTGACTTGCTTTAGGAACAGAAATTATGTGGCTTCTGGGACAAGGACGGGACTAGCACACCAAGCCCTAGATTTTGAGTCCCTTGTTTGTATGTGAACTTTTCCACTAAATCATCAGTTTCTAGACTTCATAAACATTACTATTCTCCATACATTCTGTGCTTCAGAATGATTGACCTTCTTGCTGTTTGTCATTCCTGATATTCTGTTACTCATCACTGTACCTTTACATTAGTCTTCCCCCTTGCTTGTAATGCTGTCTTCACCTCTGCCTCGTGGAGGTCTTGTTTTGCTTTCATTTTCAGCTCAAGCACCACTTTCTACATTAGGCCATTCTTTGTCCTCCTAGCTGCTTCTGCCCCCTCCCTCTGCCCCAGCTTGCCTTCTGTCTATTTTGTATATCCTCACTTGTATATGTGCATAATAGAATGTAAAGTTCTTGAGAATAGAGACTGTTTTGCTCTTTTTCTTAAGAGCTATACTTGTTCATTGAATTGCTTTGAAGCGATAGCATGGAGGACAAATATTCTTTGTAATCAGACAGAATATTTGGTTTGGTGAGTCATTTAGCAAAGACATTTTTGCATTTCTTACGTTCTGCTTCCTTATTTCTAAGTTCTTATTGAATTTACTACTTTAGTCAATACCTCAAGTATTCATTATTTCTGTTTACTGTCACTCTTGTGGTCTACTTTTGTCTCACTAGATACATAATCAGCATTGAAGTACTTGTGATTTAAAGCTTCACTTCAACAATAACAAACGACATCCTTGATCCAGTGAAAGTATTAGCCAGAAAAGTAGCAAGTTTAGTAGAAAGCAGGGTCGATGTTTTGTATTAGTTTGAGGGGTGATGTTGCCCATCTCCCACCGTGGAGAGCACTTTGAAGAAGAGTTGAGTTAGGCAGACAGAATTGGGAAACTGGAGAAACTGGAGAACATGCTAGAACATGCTAAGCCATGTGTTCCCAGTGTAACTTCATTGTTTTGTCTGAAGCTTTTTGAACTACCAGAATATAAAATAGTGTATTTCTTTTTTTTTCCCCACACACTGCATTTCAAGGACATGTACATGACTTTTTAATTATCTGTGATATTAAATTTTAGATTTACGTAGCATATATGATTGGGAGTTGACTATGTTTTTAAAAATAAGAGCTTTGTTTTTGCATTTTTTTGGGTTTTGTTTTGGGAGGCAGTTGGGGTCACACAGCTAGTAAGTGTCTGAGGACAGATTTGAACTCAGGTCCTTCTGACTCTGGGGCTGGTGCTTTATCCATCATACCACCTACCCGCCCCTAAGAGCTTTGTATATAAAATACTCAATAACGTATTAATTAGAAAAGGGCAGCTAGGTTGTATGCTGAATAGAGTGATGGGCCTGGAGTTAGGAAGGCTCAGCTTCCCGAGTTCAAATCCCACCTCAGACAGTTACTGGCTGTGTGTCCTTGGGCAAGTCTCTTTGCCTCAGTTTCCTCATCTATAAAATGAGCTGGAGAAGGAAGTGGCAAACTAGTCTTTGCAAAGGAAACCCCAGATAGGGTCATGAAGTGTCGGACATGACTTGAAAAATGACTTAAGTACAACTGAATTAATTAGAAAAAAATTATTTCAACTATGCTGATAATGTCTCTGGGTTCCTTTGTGTTCATAGTGAAAAGAACACATAATAAAGACAGAGAGCCATTAGTTATTTTCTCTTTGATTTATTTAATTTCATTTTTCTGTAGAACTATTTAAATTATAACTGGAATAGTTATCATTATTGCTGGTAGAAGGTGAGTGAATTGTTTCTCTTTTTTGGAGGGGCATTAACTTCTCAATCTTTGAGAGCTGCTTGGGGCGTGAGAAATTAAGTAACTTGCCCAGGGTCACATAGCAGTTGGTGTGAGATATGGAACTTAAACCCAGGGTCCCCTACTCTGTGGCAGGCACTCTTGCTCACTAGATTACTCTGTCTTTTTAAGACTATTAACTTGCAGAGCAGGTATCAATCTATAGTAAGAGCAGTTTCCTTAATGGGAGTTCCCCACACTCAAGAAATATTGGAGATACAGAGACAACAGTAAAACAATTCCTGTTTACATTCTAATGGGGAACACAGTGTAATACAGTTTTGAGGGGAATGCCTCAGTAGCTGGAGAGATCAGGAGAAAGGTTCATGTAGAATGTGGTGCTGAGCTGCATCTTGAAGGAAATTAGGGATTCAGGGAAGCAGCAACAAGCAGAAAGTCCCTCCCTGGCATGTACAGAGGCCTGGAGGCAGGAGAATGAATATGACGTGGACTTTCATGCTGTGTTTCTAAAAAATGATCCATTTCTTTTCATGAAAAGAATCACGCTCGGACTATACATACAATAAATGGGAAGATCTTTGGAACTAAGAAACAGTGAATGCTGTACTTTTTAAAAAAACCTTATAAAGTCTCCATTTGTTATATTGGTAATTTCAGTATGCTATAATGATGTCCATAACTTGTCTTTTTAGCTTTTCACTGCATTTGAAAATGCTTTGAGCTCTTCAGATAATATTCCTAGTGAAGATCATGAAACACTTTATAGACACTTCATTCAGTGTTTGTCTAAAGTAAGATTTTCAAATATCTTTTTACAAAAATTCTTGCATATATATCCACAGTGTAACTTTATTTAGAAATACTTTACTAATATGAATATTTAGTTTTATTTTGTCTTTATATTTTTAAGTTTCCTGATGAGACTGCTAGGATGAAGAAAGCATGTGAAGGTATGATGAACATCTATCCTACCATATCTTATCCATTGGAAATGCTTTGCTTACATTTAATTCAGTCAGGTAAGTTGAAGTTTTTTGTTTGTGTTTAGAATTTTTGTTGTTTTCATTGTTGAATTTATATTATGTTCAAGTAATTAGGTTAACGTGGCACATAAATGAGTATAGGAAGCATAGGACGTGGTTCTCAATTTCAAGACATCAAGGTCTAATTAGAGAGAGAAAGCATATGCCTGTATAACTACTGTTGCAAAGAATTTTGTTCTGAATTAGATGAATTGTATGGGCAACCCTCAGAGGAAGGTATGTGCCTTATAGAATAAAATCCTTAAGGCCAGTGAAACTTCGTGAAGACCTAGGTTTTGAAGGATAACTAGGAAATAAACAGCAATATAAAGAGATTGGAGAAAGAGCAAAGTCATTTGGTGTCAGAAAAGTTATGAGTAAGTGAACTGTGAGGCATATTTTCTCAATAGTGAGAATAGGTTATTGTAATGAGGATGGAAGGATTATGTAGTAGAATATCTGGAAAAATAAGAATTTCGTTATGATATTATATTTTGGAAATAACAAAATATAAGTATATAATATGTACATATGATAAAATATATAAAATATAGAATATAAAAATATTTAATATGTACTCGTCAAGACTCATTCTTTTCTACTAAAGAATGAGTCCTGATGAGTACATATTAAAAAAAAATTTTTTTCCCATTAAGTTTAGTTCTAGCAGTGGACTGAGAAGATAAACTTTGGAGAATGTTTGGGGAAATTTTTATAGGAGAACTGGAGCCAATAAAATAAAGAATAGAGGTTAGAAAAGCAGGAGAAAAACCAAGAGAGTTGTAATGTCACACTTTGCTAATTTGATTAATGTCAAACTTCAGAAAGGTCTGGGAGAAGTAAGGGTGAGAAGCAGGCCATAATAGTCCTGCAGTGTTATCAAGAACAATTGAAGAGTGAATACAATATTCCCACCCCTAATAGATAAGTTGTCAAAGACTGTGAGAAGTTTTCACAATAAAAATTGCTAACTATAAATGACCATTTAAAAACATGCTTTCAGTCACTAATATTAACAGATGTTCAGGTTTCAAAACAACCACAAAGTTGGCAAAGATGATCAAAAGCAAGGGCAGTAATGGAGGTGCTTTGGGGACAGATGTATTCGTCCACTTGTGTAGAGCTCTGGCTTGGTATAATTTTTCTGGAAAGAGATTTGGAATTATGCAAGAGGAGTGACTAAACTGTCTGTACAGCACATTGCTCAGCACTATTGCTATTGGACATAATTCGAGAAGGAAACAGAAAGGTCAAAGCCAAAAACAAAGGTCCAACGTAAAATATTCATAGCAGCACTCTTTTTAATACCAAGGAACTGGGAATAAAGTAGATGCCCCCTGGTTGGGGAATAACTGTAAACATGGTATGTGAATGCAATGGATTATTATTGTGGAGTGAGAATTGATGAATATAAGAAATTCAGAGAAACGGGAAGATTTGTAATAACTAATTCAGAGTGAAATAAGAAGAATCAAGAAGACAGTTTACTCAGTTGACTACAGCAGTATAAATGAAAGTATCACTAAAATTACTCAAACTAAGTAACTGAAAAACCAGTGACTGATCTACAGAACATATAATGAAATGTAGTCACTTGGGCAGAATGTTGTAAATACTATCTAATTGGGTTACTTTAGGGTAGTAGTGTCAAACTCAGAAAGGGATTCTTGTGGTCCATATTGACTTAGAAAACCACAGATAAATGTTATCTATGTTATATTGTATTTTTAATTTATCTTGTTAAACATTTGCCATTTTCATTTTAATCTGATTCTCTCTAGGAAGTTTTACAGATATGTGGTGGTTTTGATGCCTCTTCTGTACAGGATGTTATTGTTTGTTTTTCTTATAAAGGAAGGCTCATTCTAGAGGGAAATGGAGGTTTTTTTCCTTCAGAAATATCTATGATACAAAGACAAAAGGAATCAGTAAAACATCTTAAAAGAAAAAGATGCATGCTCTGTAGGAATAGATTATCACATAACTCTTCAGTAACAGGAAGGGTATAATTTTCGTATTTATGGTAAACACTGCCTTTCAACCAAGATGTTTTTTATTAAATTGACCATTGTTCTTGTTAACAAATGAAATAGTTAGAACAGGACTAGCCTTCTCTAAGGAAGACAAAAATGGTAAGTTGTCATTTTGTTTCCTTCTGTCCCGTGGCATGAGGACTCTACCTTCCCTATTGAGGGAGATGAGAAAGACCAAATGGAAAAACTTTGGCACCCTGGCATGCACTGTTTAAAGATGTTGAGTGTTGTTCACTAATAAATGTCAGCAGATACTATTGTTTACATGGTATACAATGCCTTGCATATAGTAGGTGTTTAATATAATTTAATTGAAATTAAGTATTGTGCTCTCATAGGATATAAAGTAGTCTGTTGTATTCTTTTTTTTGTTTGTTTTTGGCAAGGCAGTTGGGGTTAAGTGACTTGCCCAGGGTCACACAGCTAGTAAGTAACAAGTATCTGAGAGACCAGATTTGAACTCAGGTCCCCTTGACTTCATATCCAGTGTTCTGTCCACTGTGCCACCTAGCTGCCCCTGTTGTCTTCTTTTGATAGATAGTAGGGAACAGACCTTGTCCCCTAAATAAGGTTACAGAATAATAGAGACAAGACAGACAAGTATAACCAATTGAGCTGTATAAATTCAGTAATTTTCAGAGTGTTGTTATTAAGATGTTATAGATAAGGATTATTCTTGGGAATTAGAGAGTAAGTAGGGCTAGTTAAAGGTGGGAAGGTTTTAGGATGAAGATCAAGAAGAACAGAATAGCAGTATAAAGAATTATAATTTATTATTATTACTATGACACAGGTCCATGGTTTGAAATAACTTGGGGAGATGGTAAAGTACCTGGCTCATGTTGATCTCCTAATGGTTTAGGTTTGATATCGTAACACTTGTAGAGTACCTGACTATAGATAGATTGAGATATACCTAGCTATAGCGGAGAAAGAATATTCAGCAAGGACACTGCTGATTCAGCTGAGCACAGCTTACTTTGGCTCTGTGTCCCCCAAGATGCTTTCCTGGTATTCTGAAGCTCACTGTGACTTTTTGTACTCAGGGGACCTGAAAGTTATGTCAGCAGCTGGAGCCTTTAGTCCCCTGAGCCAATTAAGTTGAGAGTTTAGTACCTTTATTTTATTTATTTATGTATTTATTTTTTTAGGCAATTGGGGTTAAATGGCTTGCCCGGGGTCACACAGCTAGTAAGTGTCAAGTATTTGGTCTGAGGCCGGATTTGAATGCAGGTCCTCCTGACTTCAGGGCTGGTGCTCTATCCACTATGCCACCTGATTGCCCCCAAAGTTTCAGTACTTTTTAAAGAAAAGAACTAGCTCAGACCATATCTTCAGGGATGGTTGGGGTATCTCTTCCTCCTACCACCTGTGGTCACCAAAAGGTCATTGTGGATTGGAGAATTCAGACTTGGTAATGAGTTCAGATAGGTTGTAGCTTTGGCACTTAATAGAAAGGCGTGGAAAGTGACTAGAATCGAGAGGTGGTTTTTTTTTTTTCGTTGTTAAATCATAACTAAACTTTCTTAGGTATTGAGTACTTTGAGTAATATTATATATTTAGTCATTCTTCAGAGACTATAGGCATGCTGTGAATAGGACTTGTATTTTTCTTAAAGAATTTGAGCATCTGCTAAAACTGAATCAGTCTTCTGTTTCAAAGAGAATGATAAATTTCATTCTCCTTTGTGCTGCTTTCCATGTTGAGATTTGAAGAGTATTTTTTTTTTTTTGGCATAAATCAGCTCGTTATAAAAAACAGCCAGCAAATTGAATAGTTTTCACAGTTACAATGTGTTGAATTTTTTCCCCAATGCCAAATGACCTTTTGGTTATATTTTATTTTGCTTAGGTTGTTGAAGCGTTAAATTAGAACTTTTTTAAGGCTTTGTGATTTGGAAACATTAGGAAATCCAAGTCAAAATAAATAAGTGCTGACAAAATATGTTTACAGAGGGAAAATCCTTTAGTGTTGGCCAGTTGAAATAGTATATGAAGATCATTACAGAATTAGATGTAAATAATATTTGGTTGTGGGAACTCTGTACTTTCTGGGATTTTTCTTATCACATGTACAAACTTTATTGGAACACAATTTTCATTTCAGGGCTTTTCATGCTTTCATTCATTGAACTTTTTGTCCTTTGGACCTAGAATTTCTGCAGTTATAATGTATCTTCCTAGAGTTGAAGTACCTTTCTGCCCAGAGTACGTGCTATAAAGAAGTTGTTTCATCTCTTTCTCTCCAGTTTGCCATGATTCCATGATATCCAACTTTCCCTATTAGAATTGGGAAGGAGGAGTGTAATAAATCTCAATTCAGGGTAGTAGAGTTTGGGAATAGAAGATTTTGTCTGCCCTTCCTCCAAATAGCAATAATGTGCCTCAGCTTAATGACAGTTTTCAGCAACACTGGGGTATTCTAAGTGTTCCTAAGTATTCAGGGAATGTCAGCCTAGAGTTCACTTGGTTCCTACTCTTAATAGCATTTCATCTTGTTTCTACTAGCTTATTACTATTGAGCCTGAGTCAGAATGAGTCTCATACTTTTACCTAGTGAAGATTGGCTGTTGTGAGCCCTAGATAAAGAACATAGTTGGAGAAAGTTATTATACAATGGTGACTTCCCCACTTCAAGAAATTGGCACTATCGAGATGTTCATTCTAACTTTTCTGGAACTTTTTTCTTTAAACCAGTCTTTTTGTTGTTATTATTGTTGTTCTGACTCTTTATGACCCCATTTGGGATTTTCTTGGCAAAGATACTGGAGTGGTTTGCTGTTTCTTTCCCCAGCTCATTTTACAGATGAGGAAACTGAGGCAAACAGGATTAAATGACTTGCCCAGGTCATACAACTAGTAAGTATCTGAGGCCAGATTGGAACTCAGATCTTCCTGACTCGAGGCCTGACACTCTATCCACTGTACTACCTTGTGGCCTTTATTATCTATGTTTAATTTTGTAGTGCTTAGATGCTCTAGATTAGTGGTCTTCAAAACTTTTGAATGGTACACCCCATCAGTAAAATTTTTGTAGCATGCACTCCTAATATGTGCATACTTATTTATAAGTTGTAAACATTTACTACTGCACTGATAATTATGTACATTGTAAAAATTAGAAAAATAGAAACTAAAAAAGGGATTTGATAAAGAGGAAATAATATTAGATCCTGGAGTCAGTAGAGAGCCACTGGAGTTTTTTGATTAGGGTAGTGACATGGTCATGGCTACATTTTAGAGAAATCATTGGCAGCTATATGTGGAGGATGCATAAAAGAAGGGAGATATTTGAGGTAGGGTGATCAATTTAGGATGTGAGACATATTGTAGAAGTAGAAACAGTGAGGTTTGGCAACTGATTTGGATATGTGGGGTGAGAATAAGGAGTTGAAAATGATGCCAAGGTTGTGTGTGTAGGGGACTAGAAGGATGGTGGTGCCCTTGATAGAAAGAGGGAACTGAGATGCAAATCATTGAAGCGTACCATTCATGTCAGGTTTTCCTATGAAATACATTCTGTCCCACCCAAAATAAAGAGGAAAGTGGGGCCTTTTATTACCTGTTACTCCCCTGCAGAGCATTCCTTAAGAAGTACCTGCTGCCAGAGTTGAGCTGGGGGAAGGAGGTGGGAGAGTATCAAACTTTTCCAGTGGTATCTGCACAGCTGCTACTGTGGGTACATAAAGTGTGAGGTTATAATTAGGTTAGTGTTAGATTATAGCTGGCCCAGAAGTGGGAAAGTTGGAAATTTAATCAAGGAAGTTTTAGAGATAAGGGGATATAGGTTTGTGTTAGGTAGAGTTTGATTAAAAGACCACTTTCAGCAGCTATGTATTGAACACCTACTATGTGTAAGGTAGGTATTGAGCATGTAAAAATGTAGAATGTATTGGTTTTTCCCTCAAAGATATTATGGTTCAGTTAAGAGTAATTACTTATTCATAGAGTGAAATAGAAGTAAACCGTGGTATAATGTCGACAATAAGAACTATTAAAAATTCAGAGAAAAGGGAGGGCCTGCGTGTTGGTACTGAAATAGAGTAGCCAGCTATTCCTAGAACTCATTTTGGTACATGAGGAGAACATAATTGATAAATCAGTCTTTATATTTCTCTTAAAAATTAATTGTGTTGTTTTGTGCTGTCATTTTTTTTTAACTAGCACACATATCAAAATAGTCATACTTTCAGTTTCTTTGCCTAGCACCTCTGTAGAACATTTAAGTTTTTAAAATTGGGGAGGGAGTTGCCCTGCAGTCATTATAGTGTCTACCAGCATTTCCTTTGCACATAGGACCTGCTGAGTCACTGTCTATGTAAAAGTATTATTTGCATTTAGTTTTACTTGTAGTATGGACTGGGATAGTAAAAACTTCCCAGTTAACATTTTTTCTTCCTGCATATTTCTTTTAGTATTTTGATATAAATCCTGTGAAAGAAAATTTTGTTATTTTATTTGGTGGAGAATGGAAACTTATATACAGATATTATTGCTATAGCATATTGTTTTGTTTTGTTCTGGCAAGTGATTTTATTGGTTAGAGGGATTCTCCTGGGTAGGGAATTTCCTCTGCCAATGCAAATTGGCAGCTTGTCTGCAATTTAGAGATTCCTGGGGTACTTAGAGGTTGTGACTTGCCATATGATCAGACAGCCAGTGTCTCAATAAATACAGGATGTGAACCAGATGTTCTACCTCAGAGGCCAGGTTTCTATAAACTTTGACCTGCCCACCTCTCTGTCAAGTCTTTAGTCTTGTTTTTAGTCTTTAGATTTGTTTTTCAAGTTTATCACTGTATATTGGAAGCTATTTCTTTGTAAGAGTTTTTACTTTTCATATTTTATTTCCTGTACCTCCCCTCTCTTCCCCAAAATAGTTGAGATTAAACCCTTTAGTTTATCTTAAGTATTTCTGAGGGTAGAAAAAATGAGAATATATTTGGATTCAGAATTATATAATTTAGATTGTTATTTGTTTTATTTATTTCTTCCAAATTGATCATGAAATTAATTTTATGGATTTAATGTATAAAGTACATTTATTGCGTTGGTTGATGATTACTACATAGACTCAACATCTTGGAAAAGGAAGACTTAAAAGATTATAAAACATTTTTAATGTAGTTGTTACACTAAGGCTAGTAGTCCAATAAAGGAGATTATTCAAAGGAAGAAAGATAAGAAAAACTGGTAGGTAGTAAGATATTCCTGAAATCTTATAGCCAGTTTGTAACATTAGAGTGCTAATCAAATTTCAAACTGTTATTATTTAGGATGAAAGTACTTAATTAAGAGTAAATTTTCTTTGAAACTTTTGGCCATTATGACATTTAAGAATTCAGTTTCTAGGTAGGAAAGGCTTGTGAATGTGCCTGAAGTGGTAGGAAAGCTTGTTTGGTTACCATGGTTTTCTGTAATTTTAAGGGTATACTATTTAATTTGTAAAAATTAATATAGACCTGGCACTTGAACATTTTATGCATATGAATTAAATTATTTTTTTCTTTATACCAGGAAGTTTCACTGATGAAGCCCTGCAGTATTGTTACCAACTGGTGAAGAAGAACTCAGAAAGTGGTCCTGGCCTCATTGGCTTAGGCATAAAAGCACTACAAGACAAAAAATATGAAGATGCTGCCAAAAACTTAACAGAAGGTAAATACATAATGCATAAAATAAAATTAGTAGAATTGTGGTCTTAAAGTGATATTCATTCAGTTTTTAAGTACTTAGTGTTGGCCATTAAAGAACTTAAAATCTAGGGCGAGAGAGAAATCCATAAGAAACAATTAGACAACCATTTCAAAGCATCTTACCCAGCAGTGTCAAGAGTGGAAGCCTATCACAGAGGATGCTAAAAAGACCTGTGTTAAAAGTGCCTCCTCTGATAGACACGGCTGCGAAATCCTGGACAATCACTTAACATCTCTGAGCTTCAGGCAATTCTCTGTTATAGATAGTAGTATTCTTCATTGATGAATGAAACCACAGGTTCTGAATGTGTTGATGTAATAGCATCAGTTGCTGTTCTGGGAAAATAAAAGGAGCACTCATAAAGTAAATCTAAGTCTATATTCAAGCTACTTTATTTCACAAATGAACAAGAATGTCACCAACTTTATATTTTAGAAGCTATATTCAGACATAGTAATAAGAGTATCTAGTCATATAGTAGTTATAAATGAAAAATAAAAAATAATCGGGTTATTGACTTTCTCAAAAATAATTACATTGGAACCATCTGAAAACTAGATGCATATAAAAACCTTTACAGTTTTGTATAAGCCATCAGTTTAAATTCATTCCAAATTAGTAATACTTTGAAAATGATTTCAGGCAAAGTCTAGTTTTTCGATTGAAAGAGCTTAGAGTTTTCCCTCAATTTCTCATTTATTCCTTCATACATTTTAAAAATTCTGGCTAAGTTTTATTTATAGAACAAAATAAAAGTAAAGAGTTTTGAAGGTACTTTTAACATTCCACTTTTATGGAGTTTCTCTAATATGCTAATTTTTCAATCAGTCATACAGGCTTCCTACTGGACAAGTAATAAAGCTTATCCAATAGAATGTTACCTCCTTGAGGTCAGGGACTGTAGGGTTTTTGTCTTTGTATCCTTGATATGGGCCTTGCTCTGTCATAGAACCCAGTGCTGGTCATTAACTTGAATTCTGCCTAACCCTTTGTTTCTCCAGGAGCTATTTCTGATTCAGTTTTTATTTTGTGCAGAGAAAAATGAAAGTTTATCATTTTGGAAAAATATTGTCCATTGAGGGTCTGGAAGCTGCTGAAAGCCCTCAGCATTCCTTCTTGCAGTGTGGCTTAGGCTTTCCCATAGATAAAGGACAGAGGAGTCGAGAAAGCCCCCAGAGGACAGCTCACCAGGAGGAAATAGCAGTGCAGTGCTATAAATATTTTAGAACTGTTAAGTGTGTTTACTGTTACCTCTCAAGGATCCAGTATTGTGTAGTAGAAAAACAATAGCTTTAGAGTCAGAAGACCTGGGTTAAATGCCCACCTTTAACTCTTAGAACTTGTGTGGCCTCATGCAAGTCATTTAACTTCCCTGGGGCTCAGTTTTCTCATTTGTAAAATGGGAGCATTGGAATATTTGCCTTTAGATGTCCCTTCTAACTCTAAGTTTATGATCCTATAATCTCATGTATAATATGTGACACTTATATGACTATTCCAAAGGAAACTAATTCTCTTTTACTTTTATAATAATGCTTCCTATTAATGACTCATATATATAAATATATATGTATACACACACATATATATTTGTGTGTGTGTGTGTTTGTGTGTGTGTATGTGTGTGTGAGAGAAAGCCATTATTGTCCAGTGATTCAAATTGCTTTAAAATTAATAAGGGCTGTTGTCATTGAGCCAAGTTGCTTGCGATACAACTCAATCACCAATAATCCTGAGTTTATTGTTATTGTATTCTGTTAGGATTAAAACTAAGCAGTGTCTGCATAGTAGGATGGTATCATCTGGCAGAGGCTCAAGTGAAAATGCATCGCTATAAAGAAGCTATTCTTTCTTGCAATCAAGGTAACAGTATTATTGACATCTTACGATTGAGATATAGTGGTTGCTCTCCTAGTTTGTTTCAAGGGCAGTACAAAAGGTAGCATGGTGAAGTGGATGCAGGTGTAGATTTGGGATTAGGACGGCCTAGCTCTGAACCTGACCTCTTGCACTTAGATGTGTAACCATGGACAGGTTACTCTTTGATCCTGTTTCCTTACTATTAAAGTAATAATAATAATAACAACAATAAGAGTAATAATATCGATAGCTAGCATTTATATAGCACTCTAAGATTTGCAAAGCACTTTATATAACTCATTTGAGTTGGGGATAATATTACCTTTCATATCTACTTCATGGGGATGTTGTGAGTATCAGTTGAGATAATGTATGTAAAACACTTTGCAAAATTGAAAGCACTGTACATATAAATGTCAGCTATTGTTTTGATTTTGAGAAATATAATTTCTATCTTACTGTAGTGCTTTATTGTGTTTTTTAGGATGTAGAATTATTTAAGATTGCTTAAGTGTTTGTGTTAGATATATTAAATCTTTAGCCATCATCTGATAGGTTCTCAGGTACATAACCTGTCAGTAAACACTGACAGGTTTTCCTGAAGAGTTCTTTGCACTCAGAATTTTGAGACTGGGGTAGATGAACCTCAGAATATGTTGCTGACCTTTAGGACTTAATCAAAGGTTCTGAATTGCTCCAAAGGTGCAAAGGAAATTCCTAGGGAGGTCTGGAGCAGGTATGACTCTGGGAATGACATCAGCTGAAATAAAGGAGGGAGTAGGGGAACCTTGATGCTCTGTTCTGTGTCTTTGGACCAGAATAGTTTTCTTCTGCTAAGGAACTCATAGAATGCATACTGAATGTAATTTATAGCCCTGTTGTGAGAAGTCATTTTTGTATGGGGTGGTGGGGTAAGCCTCAGCTATCTAGTAAGTTATCGTTATCAGTATGCTAAGATGCCTAGTTATTAATATAGAACATGGCATATTTTGGTATAGTTCTGTCATCATTTCACGTATTTTCTTACTGGGCTCAGTGAAGATTTCATATTTAGCTGTACATTACCATAGGATTAGAGCTGTAAGGGAACTTATAGACTATCTGATCCCATTGCTTCATTTTATAGATGATAGCAAAAGTTCATAATAGCTAGTATCTATATGGTTCTTTAAGCTTTGCAAAGTGTTTTACATATTTAATTTCTTTTGATCCTCTGAACAGCTCTTTTTATGAGTCAGCTAACTTGTACATGGTTATGTAAGTAGTTGGTACTAGAGCCAGATTCAAACCCACAACTTCCTGATTCCCAATTCCTTGCTGTCTCTAATAACCACACTTTTCACATGTGCTATATTGGTAATTTGTGCTTCTCTTGAAATATACATCTCAGTTTATTAATAATTCTTTTAAAACCCACCTTAGAGAAGATTCAAATTTTTATTTTTACATTTTCTTAGCTCTGAAGACAATAGAAAACCTCAGTTCACCTGGTAGAACTCTTCATCAGAAGAACCTCTGCCTTTGTTTGAAAGCAGAGGCCTTAATAAAACTTTCAGATCATGATTCTTCAGAAGAAGCAATTGCCATTCTAGAACAGGTATTAAGAGGTTTCCCCTCAGCTTTCCATGGCTCTCATCAATCAGGTCTTTCCCTTTCAAAAAACTTTGCCTTAAAAAGTATGTATTTCCAGTACAATACCAAATCTGTAGGATTTACATTACAATCCACTTATTTCTGGTTTCCTCAAGCCATTTGCTTGACTTTTTGGTCCAAAAACTGGAACCCAGTTTATTAGTAAATGTGGATAATGACTAAATAACACTCAGACAAATGTGCTCTATATAATACAAGTCCTTTTTCTTTCTTTTTTTTGTCTGTTATTAGTACACTTTAGGACAAATTTGAGGTTTTAATGTCAGTGTTTAAAGAACATATCTTGTACCACTGAAAAGAGTAACATGGTGATATAAATGACTTTTTATTAATAATGATTTTCTGCAGACATACAATTTAATAAATTAATAGAAAATAAAGTTGAATTTAAGGAACCACACTAATTTTTTAGTGTTCTAGTTTGAAAGCATTCTTACCAGAAAACAGCATAAAAATATGAGTAGTAAACATATTATCCTTAAAGATTGTTAGCAAAAGTGATCTTTAATATCATTGTGGAGTTTTTAAAAAAATTTTGCTGATACTTAAAGGTGATTATATCATATAAAATTCTGTCATAACTTAATATGTATCATATGTGATATGTTGATATAATATGTGTCATAAAATTCTATCATAATTCCTTAAAATTTGACAATAAATTAGTCAACTATTGCCTCTTTTATTTTGGTATGAATGGATTTGTCTCTCTTTCATGTATCAGCTCCTTAGGAGAAAGATCTATGGGTCTTGTGCCAACTTTGTTTTTACAGTACCTAATATGATACCTTTTACTTATAGTTGCTTCTTAACAAAGAAGTTTGTTGAATTTTTGAATTTTGGAAAATTTTTTGTGTAGTTCTGAAGTATTTAAGTCATTAAAAAGATTTCTCTAGGAAATAGCATGAAAGAAACTGAGAATTAACCAGTTGCTATTGGGCTGCTACACTATAATTTTGTGGCTTTTATGTTTTAGTGTTGCCATCCTTTAATTAAAAAACAAATTGTTCTATTGTATGAAAAGAAAAAAAATCAGTAATTAATGATTTAACAACAATTTAAAATTATTTCCTAGATCTCAGATGCAAATAATATTCCAGAGCTTTTAGTTCTCAAAGGTCTTGCTTATCTAAACAAAGGCTTAACTGATAAAACTTCAAAGGTAAGTTTTTAATTAAAATTGAATTTTTTAAAATTAAAAGCCATAGAAGTAGTTATATGGAATTAATAGTATATTTCTCTTTCTAGATTGTTGAAGAACTTCTTTCCTCTCACCCTAACCTAGCTGCAGTCCATGCGCTGGAGGCACTGATTCATTTTACCAGAAAGGACTATCCAGAGGCAGAGAAAGGGTAGGGACACATGGTCGGCACACAGACCAGTTTAAAAACTCGTGGATTTGTATAGTAGCCATGCTTGTATAAATTGATTCTTTCTAAGTTCTCTGCTATTTTTTTGGATAATTTTATTTCATTTATATCTAACATAATTAAAATAGCACATTGTGGCTTTTTAATGTCTAATCAAGTTATCATAACATATTCAGTGAGCAGGGATCATGCATATGTCTTTACTTTATTAACTAGCACAGGTTGGGTGCCAAAGCATCATTATGCTTTTAAAGTATTTTTTCTGTTTAAAAGCATATTATTTTGCTAGGCATAAATTAATTTCAGAAATAATGTGTTGGGTTTATTTGGCACTTTAGAATTTATGCCATCATTCACATTGGCGGTTAAGAATGTCCAAATATATACACATATATTCTACAACCTCACTTTTTTCCTTTTTCTCAGATTTCAGAGAGCTCTTGACAGAGAAGCCGAGGTTGCTGATTATTATTACTATCTTGGATTAACATATTGGTTCATGAGTGAAGATACAAGAAAAGACAAAACAAAAGCTCTTACCCAGTTTTTGAAGGTGAGAAAAATACTTATATCCACTTTATATGGTAATAATATGTGCTGCTTCTCTCATGAATAATTTTTAAAAATTGATGCCTTTTCTTTATGTTCACTTATTTTTGAATATATTTCCTCCAGTCAAACCTCCCCTTGTAACTAAGATTTAAAAAGAAAAAAAACATAGTTAAACAAAGCCAACCAAACAACACAACAGTTGTTTCATTGTTTTTTGATAATGCTTTGTTATGACAGACTTTGGAAGAAATTGTAAGTATTAAGAAAAGAAAGTGCTTTTTAAAAGAAATTCACCAAAGGAAACTGATAATTAACCATTTCCCCTCCCCTTCCAAAATGTAGTTTTTAGAATGTCTCCCCTACGATAATATTGCTTTATTAGTCTAATTGACTTAGAACAATAGAATTATAGCACTAGAAGAGACCTTGGAGAGGGTATCTGTTCTCTCATTTTGGAGATGAGAAGCTAAGGCCCTGAGAGATTTTAACTTGATCTTGGTCACACAGCTAGTTAGAGCCCAAGCTGAGACTGTACTCTTCTCCAAATGATCTTTCTGCTGTCCTGTTTAACTCCTTAATTTTCTGAATTAAAACCAAACCCTTTCCTTGATCTCTTTTTAACACTGAGAAATCTTGCATTCTTTTCTTGAAAGCAGAATAATTTTCATGATTTTATAATGTTTAAAAATCTTGTTAACGGTTGTAACTTATGTATAGGAAAACAAATTTTCTTGACTTTGCTTTTTCTTATCACCAAACTGTCATGCTTGCTTTAAATCAATCCTTCATAAAAAGACATTTAATCAGCTATTTTATATTTAAACATCAGATTACTACTATCATCTCTTTTGCACATATTTTTGAAAATGACACTTCCAAATATACTTTACTATTTATATTTTTTCTTTGTGTTTTTTATTTAAAGGCTGCAAAATTGGACACGTACATGGGTAAGGTTTTCCACTACTTAGGACATTACTACAGAGAGGTAGTTGGAGATAAGAGCAGAGCCCGGGGGTGTTACAGAAAAGCTTTTGAACTGGATGAAACAGATGAAGAATCTGGAGCTGCTGCAGTTGACTTAAGTGTGGAGCTTGAGGATACGGTATATCTTCTTCTTTGCCTGTTAGCAATTTTCTCCATAGTGCCTTTAGTATAATTACATACACTAATTTGAACAGCTGTAGTTGTCTTCATTTTGCTATAAATTAATCTCATCAGAATGTTTTTACTGTGACCTTGATGTAGCTATTTATTTTAATAGCATATCAACATAAAATTTTTAAAAAGATGGGAAAAATCTGTTATTTTAGTAGAGGAATACATTTGAGAGTTTTACACACATATTTTGCTTTTAAAAATGATAACAATGACTGATTTTTTTTTTAATAGGACACTGCTTTGGTTATCTTAACAACAGTGACTGAAAAGGCAAGTGCTGGGACAGCAAAATGGGCTTGGCTTAGAAGAGGGCTCTACTATTTGAAAGCTGGTCAGCATTCTCAAGCAGTGGCTGAGTAAGTGGTCTTAAATTTTACCATATTCAGACAATTTAGTGAGATCATTTGTTTTCTAAGTATTTAAGGCTCTATGTGGAATATTGGGGGTGTGGTGGTAGCAGTAAGGTCCTACGGTCATATGCATAAAAAGTACTCAGTAAGCTTTTGTTGTTTATGTTCATCATGTGAGGATTTTTCTTCACTGTATCTTTCAGCAAGTTGTTTAAGTGAGAACCTTGCATAGTTGGATCATAAGTTTACCTGTTGTTTTCCTTTATCTGGCCTGCAGAGTAATAGATTTTATTTGGAGGTAAAGTGATTGTTGTTTTCTTCCATTACTTAAAATTCTAAATGCTTGTGTGGAGGAATTATTCGTGTAAATATTGAGATGTGATGAAATTAATACATTAAAAATAATGGTTAGCCTAAAATGTGGATATTAATCTTGTTGCAGTGTTTTAGAATTCTATGTATTGAAAAGTGAGGATTTGCAAAACAAGGTAAATCAAACTGGATGAATTCTATTGAGAGGTCAGAAAGCTGGAGCATCATTGGATACAAGATGTCAGGATTGTGAAGAGGGATCTCTGTGGAAAAGTTATTGCGTTGCTAATTTGGTCATTCTAAATTACAAGTAAAGTATCTTTTTATAGTACCTCACAAAATTTTAGAGGATATGAATATATGAGATTTAGTCAAATTTATAACTTTTAAGATTGAGTTAATATATTATTACATTCTCCTTATGTATTATATACATATAATATTTACTTATATTCTTAGATTTTGAGACTTTTTCTTAAAATATTTAGTTTACAGGCGGCATTAAGAGCAGACCCAAAGGACTTCAACTGCTGGGAGTCATTGGGAGAGGCCTACTTGAGTAGAGGTGGCTATACTACAGCTCTAAAATCCTTCACAAAAGCCAGTGAGCTGAACCCAGAATCTATCTACAGTGTGTTTAAGGTTGCAGCAATACAGCAGGTCCTAGGCAAATATAAAGACGCTGTGTCTCAGTATCAGCAGATCATAAAAAAGAAAGAAGATTATGTACCTGCCCTGAAAGGTAAACATTTACATTTTAATTGCAGCACTAATTTTTGTATTATTAAGTAGTAAACTTTCATTTAGAAAGTTAGGCATTGCCTTTACTATGTTCTAATCTGAAAAGATTTCCATAATGAACAAATAGCATTTACTAGTCAGAAACAAATAACTATGTATAGTAAAATCCTGTTCTGGTATAGTTGCCCTAAACTGTATTACTTTTATACCCCAACCTCAGCTTTCTAGGGGAACCACACTGGAAGAATTAATGTTAAGGACTTTTGCCTCTTCATTATGTTGAGTTAATGCAGCAAATGCAGTTTTTCATGGTAGGACACTTAGACATAGAGAACTCTGTTTCTTATGATTCAAATAAAATTTGCATTTAGGTAGGCCATCAACATCTCAAATGCAACATATTCAAAGTTAAACTTACTGTATATTATTTTTGTAGTCATATCTCAAAAATTGCAGGACTTGCTATTTTGTAATAAACTTCAGGGAATATACATTTCATTTCCATGTGTGGTAGCACAATATTCAAGAGTCCATAGAATAGGGAATCCATTTATTTTTAATACCTCCAGAGGCATATAATCCAAATTCTTATCAATTTTGACAGAAAATAAAGCAGTTTGTCTATGTATAATCTAGAATTTTGATTGATAGAATAAGCATGACTGGTTTTTTTAAAAGTAAGACCTTTTTATACTCCCTGTTCTTTTTCTCTTTATTTGCCTGAATGGAAGACAACCAGATCAGAATTAACTTAGGCTTTGGCTTTCACATCAGCGTCATTTGCTGTACTGCTGGAAAGGCCTTGTAATCTTTCAAATAAAGGTATATATACAAAAGGAAATATTAAATTAAATTACATATATGTATATATTCATAATTACTGATGCCACTGCATACATTTACTCACATCTGACATTCTTTAGTAGGATATGGGCACCACAAAAACTTAAAAACTACATTAAGCAGAAATTATGAAATTATCTTGAATTTTCTAGAAGGTATATTTAAGAAAAAACTCCTATGTAAATGACCAACACAGTGTTCAGAATTTCCATGAGTAGTCAATGAAATTATAATGCTACTGTTTTATATGAAAACTTACATTTAAATTCATACTTCTTTGCTTTCAGGTCTTGGTGAGTGTCACCTTATGATGGCAAAAGGAATGCTGACTGATTACCTTGATGGAAAAGCTGTGGACCATATTGAACAAGCTTTGAATTACTTTACTTGGTGAGTATTACAGATTCCAATGAGTTGCTTGAGTTAATTTTGCTGTTTTTCTTTTTTTAAAATTTCAATTAAACTTGAAGTCCAGAAAATAAATTTATGATTTAAGATGAGACAACAAAATTGCTATTTTAACTTGGAATAAAACAGTAGTTCTTTGGCTTAATTTCAACATAAAATGAAAAGTGCAAGAAAATGCTTTGTTTAAAAACATTTTAAGAGATTTTAAACTTTCTATCTTGCCCTTAAAACAACCAGTACAGCTTTTAGGGATTCATGTAGCACTTTATATTTTCCAAAACTGTGAAGCATTTTCTTAATATTTTACTAAGATATTCTAAAGAGAAACTAGACAGAAAGGAGCTACTTTAGCTTAGTTCCTATTTTTAAAAAGTCCAGTGCCCTGGAGAATAAGCACTTAATAAATGTTTAAAAGGACTTCTTAAAAAGCAACTCCTTAGTAATCAAATTTAAATATGTATATTTTTGGTTTTAGAATCATCTGATAACTATAGTAATTTGTCAGTACATCAAGGATCTCTGACTTTGTCGGTGGAGAGTTCCCACATTGATGAAGATCTCGGCCCATCTATAACTTAGTAGATAAATCTTAGAGAGCTGCCTGAAGCTCAGAGAGGTGACTTGCCCATGGTCACACAGCTAGTAAGTGTCAGAAACATGATTCGAACTCAGTCTTCCTGACTATTTACTCTGCCATGCTACCTCTCAAATATTAAATGATAATGCTTTTATTTGTCTGCAGTTTTACTGTGAAGTACTTTCATATGTATTCTCACTTGTATAGTTTCCTTATGTAGTAAAAATAGGTTTGATTATCCTGAATTTTAACTTTGTTCAATTATCTTTTATGCCAGAAATAGTTGGATTCGGCTTGAGTTCTAGTGTAAAGAGTAATAACATGCCGCCAAACATTTTATGGGTAGCCTATGAGATATATCCACTAGTGTGTGTATTTTCAATCTTACTAAATAAGAATATTGTAGAATAAATCATATATGCTATGCATATTTCTTCACGAAAATTTTATTTTCTCTCATGGTCTGCATAGTTGCATTATGGTATAGAAAGCACACTGGTTTCTTGAAGGATACACCAGTGGAATGAATACAAGCTCTTGGTGAATCCTTCTACATGAGAAAAGCCCTAAGTCTGAAACTAGGGGAAGAATGCTTAGCTAAATTCCGAGTCTTCTTACTAGAAGTTTGGCTACCAGATGATTAGTTTTTTTAAACCTTAGTAACTCATGAAACCACCAACCAAGCCGTTCTAGAAGCACAGCATTTAAGACGTGAAAGACCTCAGACCATATTTCCTGCACAACAATCCCCTCTACGTCATATTTAACTGAAGTGTAACAGTACCTCCTGATGCAACCATTTCTGCTTTTGGATTACTCTAATTGTTAGAAGTTTATTCTTACCTCATGCCTAGATTTTCTTTGCTTCTTTCAGTCCTGGTTCTGTCCCACATAGTCAAGCAGAAAAAAACATTCCCTATTTGTGATAGATTACTTTTCATGTAATTGAAAACACTCTTGGGTTCCAGGGTTGTGATTGCTATTGTTAAAGGGAATACCAGCCAGCATGAAGTCACAGATCTTTGAAAGCTACATATCACGTTTTCCATTTTTGGAGGATTTGGCATTTGGAAATTTCAAATCTCTGTTTTTAGTAGTACAGTTTTTGGTACATTGATTAGTAATGTCCCTGCTAACTGGAGAGCAGTGTTGGTACTCACTGCATTAGGAACCTCTGAGCCATGTGGGGTAGCACAGTATTCAAGAGTCCATAGAACAGGAATATATCTCTAATAATGTAAAACATGCTTTGAATTCAGTTTTGTTAATCTGTTCTACATGTAGAAAGAGGGACCCTTTTTTGAGAAATAATATAAGGCTTTACATCATGAAATTGAGTAGAAAAGAAATACTATATTGGTGTCCTATAAGAGAAGGGAATCTGAAAGATTTGGATTGTATTTAGGAAATAGAAATGTTTGATTCACTGGTCTTTTTTGTCGAAGACTTAAAAAGCCTACATTGAGAATATAAAACATCAGAGGCATTTGTTGTTATTCAGTCGTTTTCAGTTATGTGCAAATCTTCGTGACCCCTTTTGGGTTTTTCTTGACAAACATATTGAAGTGGCTCGCCATTTCCTTCTCTAGCTCATTTTACAGATGAGGAAACTGAGGCAAATAGGGTTAAGTGACTTGCTCAGGGTCACACAGCTAGTAAGTGTCTGAGGCCAGATCTGAACTCAGAAAGAGGAGTCTTCCTGACTCCAGGCGTGGCACTCTATCCACTGTGCCACCTAGTTGCCTTCAGGCATCAATGAGAAGCATTAGAACTCGCTTTTGCATGTGTGTGAAAGCATTCATCTTTCCCTTTTTCTTCTTTGCTTGCTCTTTCTCGTCCTTATTTTTCCTTTTTGCCTCTTCTCCATTCTGCTTCAGAATTACTTCTTTGAATAGAGCAACAAAAACTCTGTATAAGAGGTTAGGGAAAGCTTCACCCTGAGACTTATCTGACTTGTTAATTATTGCTGCACCTGGAACAAAGGGAGAACTAGTATAGGAGGAGGGCACAGCTTGGATGGATGCTTAATGGTAATTTTGAAACTGTTTTAGCTATATTTCTATCTCTTCCATTGTAGCATAGCAGTTTTGCTCTGTATAGTAGCTGGTATAATGCTACAACAGATGATATGCTTAATAATTTTATGTGGTGGTGGTATGTTTCCATAGAGCTAACCTCAAATTTAATTTTAATCTAAGTTGGTTCTTTTTTCTGATAGTTTAAATTTTTTATTGTTAACATAACAGCTAAAGATGTGTTAGGCAAAAATTCCTTTATGTAATTCAGAAGGTATTATTTTCTATGATTTGCTAATAAAGGAAATAATAGCTCACATTTGTATAGTACTGTATCATTAACAGGGCACTTTTATATCTACATTATTTCCTTTGAGCCTCAAAATGACTCTGTGAATTAGGTTGTGGAATTTTAACTTCTTTATAGATGCAATTAAGGGTCAGAGAAATGATTAAATTTTGTTTGAGATTATTCAGGTAGGAAGTAGAAGACCTTGGGCCCAGTTCAGGTTCTCTGACACCAAATCTAGTGCTGTAGAATTAAGACTTTTAAGAGAAGTAAAATCTGTGTCCCTGTGTATTAATATCAAATCTATTAGGTCTCTGAAGAGGATAAGGTTGTTATTCCTTCCTTTCTTCTTTTTCTCTTTGTTCTTTGATTTCTTTTTTGTTTTCAAGTTATCAATTTTAGAAACTTAGACAAAAGAGCTTCCAATCTTCTTTCTCGCTGAACTTCCCAGTAGATTTCCAGTCATGACAGCTATAGCTTGTCTCATTTCTCAGGAAATCAGTGAAAAATGTTGTTTGGCTGGACTCCATCAGCAGAAAAGGCTATGAAAAATGTTCCATCTGCTTGTCCATCTGCCAGTACCATAGACGTTTGCAGTATCTCATTGCCTAGGCTCTTGTAGATTAAATTGCCTTGTTTTTATTCACAAATCAGTTTTTCTCAAGAAGTGGGGGATTGAGGGTGGAGGTAATTGCTTAATTGAAAGGAACTAGTTTTCTGCTTTAGCATTTCTGTTTACCTTTGAAGTCATTTACCTTTACTGTTAGAAATAACAATAGATAACAGGATTTTTTTTTTTTATCTTTTGATATGCTATGTCTCATAATAGAGGTCTCTTATTCCACTATATTCAGACGAATGTATAGCGTGACTTTGTGGTCCACCTTATCCATTCAGGGAATGTTCTTCTGTGGCGCTGTGTGACGATAAGCATATTTCAGTTTACGGTAAAAAAAAAAATTAGAGGCAAAATCCTTGTTTACTGCTCTAATAGAGCCTAGCATTAAGCTCTTTACTAAGAACTTCTTTAAAAATCTAATATTAGAAATAAATTGTCCCGGAAAATTCATTGGTTTGTGCCTATTAGGCAGATTTCCTGCCACTTTTACAGAAAGAATTATAGAGGAAATATACAGATATGATTTTGGGTAGCCCTTAACATGTACGCAGGAGGTAATTTACTCAAGAAGTGAACTCTTAATAAAGTATTCACAGCACCTAATGGAAGAAGTCACTCTGTTATATATGTACTGTCTTTTTAAGTTTAAGAGAGAGGAAAACTTGATATTTTGGGAAATTTTTTAAGATAATTGCATTTTTCCTTTTAGGGCTCTCCAGTATCGATCTGATGTTTCTTGTATTTGGAAGCTCACTGGAGATGCATGTACCAGTTTACATGTGGTTTCACCATCTAAAGTGAATGTAAATGTTTTAGGAGTCCTTCTGGGTCAGAAAGAAGGGAAACAAAAATTGAAGAAACATGAGCTTCTCCATCTAGGGGGAAGGTAATTACTTAATTTTTTGGACCAGACTTGTGATTTTCTTGGTTTAGGGAACTGCTGATGAGGAAGTTCCCTCTAACTCTGGAGATTGGCACCTGCTTTACAATTTATATTCTGAGAGGGTTGCCAAGGGAACTGAAGTTAATTTGATATGTGTCAGAGACAGGACTTAGACCTAGGTCTTCCTAACTTTAAGACCTGCTCTCTTTCCACTACTGCCTGTAAAATTTATTCCTTGTGTCTTAAAATATTTTACTTTTTTTATTGCTACATTTTGTTTTGCACAACAGACATTTCCCAGCAAATACCCAAACAAATCCTCCCCTAAAGTACTTCTTGAAAAACAGTTAAGCCAAACTGTAAAGTGTGATTGCAACTGATAAAGCATTCCACTTTTCATTTGTAGTTTCTGGGTTCTTAACAGAAAGGAAAGTTGTTTTAAGTATGTATGTAAACCTCGATAGCTAGTCTTAGAGGAAAGTAATTTACCAATAGTGTTGTCAATAAGCAACATACAGATTTAACTAATCTCCTCTGTTGTTAAAGTAAAATCACATTATATTTTTGTAGGTGCTATGGTCGAGCATTAAAACTGATGCCTACAGCTAATACATGGTGCGATCTTGGAATTAATTATTATCGTCAAGCACAGGATCTAGCAGAAACCAGAAGTTGTGTGAATGAACTTAAAGAGTTGTTGGAGAAATCTTTACATGTATGTTATTGAGACTCTTAGGCATCAACTTGCTATATTGAACAAGGATCTTGATATTTGCAAATAAAAGTCCATTGATCTTGAAAATTTCAATGCAAGTAATTCTAAGAAGTAAAATGTAAGTTTTTGTCTTTCTAGTGTCTGAAAAAGGCAGTGAGACTGGATAGTAATAACCATTTGTATTGGAATGCCCTTGGTGTGGTTGCTTGTCACAGTGGTAAGAATTAAGTAATACTCAATCACATTAGAAAATTATTTGTTCATGTTCATAAAGCTCACTTAAATCAAAGCCCATATTTTTCAGGCATTGGAAACTATGCACTTGCCCAACACTGTTTCATCAAATCAATCCAAGCTGAACAAATTGTAAGTGCAATCATCACTAGAGAGTATTCCAGAATTTTGCGTTTTTGTTTATCTGAGAAAACCATATAGCAAAGCAGCTTAATTTTCTTTCTTTCTTTTTTTTTTTTTAATGCAGAATGCTATTGCATGGACAAACTTGGGAGTTTTATATCTAGCAAATGAAAATATTGAGGTAAAATTTTTTTTTCAGGGGCACCAAGGGGAGGTAAACATTAAAGACCTAAAGCATATTCTGTTTATACATTGAATACAAATAATTACTTCATGGTATTTGTACTTTTTATGGAACAATTGGGATTTATTTTCTCAGTGGTAATACACCTGTACAGTATAATGTGCAGTGTGGTGTAGAGGAGAGTGGCCTAGGGCAACTCACTTAACCTCTCAGTGTCCCAGACAACTCTAAGTTATATGTTTCTTAATCTGCAGTGATTCTGTCTACAATGATGAAATCATAGTAGGTCTTGACAAAAACAAAAAATGTACCTGATAAGGTTCTTCATAAAGATTAATTGATAGAGTGATACTTCAACACTTTATACTTCAAAAGACCTATGATTTCACTTGGTTGAGGTACTTCTTCCATAGATATAGGCTCCATCCTCTTCATAGAGTGAGGTGCTGTATCATCCTTTGGTTAATGATAAGCCTTTCTGAACTTGCTTCTCAGACAACATAGAGTCAAGCACCAGGCCTGCACATAAAACTTCCAGCTGGTAGGACTTAACCCGGAGCTTATGCTTTACTAGTGTGACCAGTGGCCACCTCTGTGTCATCATGAGGCATCAAAGTAGAACTGTTGTGGAGAATTAATTGAAGCAATGCTGTAATGTTGATGTAACGGTCAGTCTTAGACACGATCTTGTCCTGTAAATGCATTAAAAGTATTATTTATTTTTCCCTTACTGTTTCAGTGAAAAAAAAAAGTCTGGCCCCTTGAAGTGTGTCTTTCTTAATGTCCTTCATTTGTGACAGTGATTTTATAAATTCCCATTCATATTGAAATGTAGACCTACTGCGGTCTTGGTAGGAAGAAGGGCAGAATAGAGTATTTTTATAAATTCAACCATCTTCATTTTCAGCCAGCTTTACTTGGATTACTTAGCTCTTGACTTTAATAGGTGTTAATCCCTCTACAAAGCCACTACTTGATTTGGCATGTTTGAGCTTTTACCCGTGGGAAAATCAGAGACTAAAATAGCTGGAGTGTTCATCGTTCATATTTCCAAGCTTTCTCACAAATCTCTAGATGGTATTGTGCATTCACAGGGTCTGCTGTAGCTCATAAACCAGATTGTTAACATTTGCCATTCCAGTTAGATTAGAGGTAAAGGGTATATACTCATTTAATCTCTTTGTTTAAAGTTTAAGGTGAGGAAGAAGTTAGTGGATGATGGAGAGGGCTAGGACTGTTTTATAGTTTGGTGCTCTGCCAACTTAAATGTCTGAGTCTTAGTCCAGGAACCAGGGTATCTATATACTATGAATAAAAATCACCTTTGTAGACAGTGAGAACTAGTTAAAGAATATAAAACAGTATTTGCTACTAGCAAACAAAGATGGTTCTGGACAAAGTTGGATTTTTTTCTCCCTAATAACAGCAAATTTGATGACATGCTTTGCTTAACTTACTACTTCTTTTTAGCATTATAGTTATTACAATATTTAGTCCCTACAGGAAGGTGAAACATAATATTTAATGGTGTTTTTATGTACTTTTATAGCAAGCTCATGAAGCCTTCAAAGTTGCTCAGTCCCTTGATCCATCTTACTTAATGTGTTGGATTGGGCAGGTAAGAGGTGAAAATTCCAATTATGTCTTTATTTTATTTTAGAGAATAGGTTCATTTGTTTAAGAATCTTAATTTTCCTTCTGTAGGCTCTTATTGCAGAGACAGTTGGAAGTTATGACACGATGGATCTCTTTCGGCATACTACTGAACTCAGTATGCACGTAAGAATTAGCATTTTTATTTTGCATTCATTAGTGAAAAAACCAAGTAATGTTCTTGTTAATAAAATAAGTGATGGAGCAGAAATTTAATATGACAAAATATTAGAGGTGGCAAGTATTTATTAAAAATTTTATCCTAATAGTAACATAACCAATCCTCATTAAATGAAAGTCTTCTCATTTTTGTCTCTAGCTTAAATTAAGATATTGTGATTAGATAGAATAGCAACTCTCATACACAGGGAGATTCTCATAAAAAAGCGACAAAATTGTAAAGTCCAAAGGCCTTTTTGTTTCTCCCTAATTCTTTTTTTCCCGTTTTTGGGGGTGTTGTGAGAGTGCACCTGGATCTCCCTAATTCTTAAATGAATTTCATGTTAATATTACTATTGATAAGTAAACTAGTATTGTCATGCTGAACTATAGCTGCAGAGAAGATAATTCAGTCTTCTGGATGGGACACTGCTCTCTGTGTATTCTTCATGACTGCTAATGTGCATTCAGGATTGGAGACAGAACTTTTAAATTTGATCAATTATAACATTCTGGAAATTAGTATGTGGCTTGGTGTGTTAGATAGCAATGAAACTTGATAACAATTCAATTAAGTTTCATAAAAGAACTATTTTCTTCAAGATTTAAAAAATTTTCTGGAGTTAATTGAAGTACATTATTTAACATCATAGTTTTTAATTGCATGATTGTATACACCATGTCCAATTAAGTAGACATCTTTTTTTTTTCCCCTTAAAGACAGAGGGTGCAATAGGCTATGCATATTGGGTCTGTACAACACTGCAAGATAGGACAAACAGAGAAACGGAGCTGTACCGCTATAATATCCTCCAGATGAATGCCATTCCAGCAGCACAAGTTGTTTTGAGCAAATATACAGGTATTATAAAGTTTTAAGTTACCACTGTAAGTATTATTTTCTTTTGATGGTACTCAGAAATAATCATGGGACAGTGCAGTCTTGCTGTTCTTTTATTTTTATTGCTTAGTGAACTACTGCACAGTGGATGAAATGATTTTTGTAACAATGTAAATATTGGGATGCACAGTAATCTTTCATAGATTCACTGAAAGTATCTTTGAGACAATTTCGGAATCAGACAGGACAGTGGGGGTAATATGAACTTCTTCCTTTTCCAAAATGGTTTTGATTTTCTTCCTAGATCTCTGTATTTTGAAAACCTTTCATTCCAGGTGATTTGGAGATTATGACTGCTAGGAATGGGAACATCTATTAATAATATCATCATCATCATCATCATCATTACTATTCATCATACAGTAGGATATATGTTGCGTTTGTAAAACACAAATATTTGTTAAATAGCTAGAGGATTCTCTAATTGTAAATTAATTTGTATATTTTAAATATTTGTTCTCTTTCAAGGATCTAAGTTATGCATATTTGGTTTAGTACAGGAGAGAGAATAAACATTTAGACAGCGTTTATTGTGTACCAGGCACTCACTGTGTTAAGCCTTTTACAAATATCTCATCTTCACAACAACGTTTCAAAATAGATGGTGTTATCTCCATTTTACAGTTAAGGAAACTGAGGCAAACAGGTTAAGTGATTTGCTCAGTGTCACATGGCTACTAAGAGTATGAGAGTGGATATGAACTCAGGTCTTCCTGACTCTAGGACTAGCGCTGTATTCACTTTGCCGCCTAGCTGGTTTGATTATAATATATTATTGTAATATTAACCAGTTGGTTTAGTTTTTATTTTATTTTTTCTGAAGAATGATAAGTCATATTTTTATCTAGAGGAAAGTGACCCATACAATTGTAGAATTGCATAATTAGAAAAGATCTTGCAAATCACCTAAGTGTAATTCAGGCTTGCACAACATGCTGACTGCTGGCGGCCCATGAAAATGTAGGGTTGCCGCTGTGCACTCTCTTTTTGTCATGTGACCTGCAACAACCAACCATCACCAGTCTGTCTCTAGTCTAACCTATCTGCAGATGAAGAAGTTTACAAGTTGTGAGGGTCTGGTCTAATCCCTTCATTTGATTTTACAGATAAGTAACCTGGTATTAAGGGAGGTTGTTATCCTACCTGAAGTCATACAGCTCTGAAATGGGCTTCCTTGTGATTTCTGTTCAGTGGTGTTAATTCTGTCCATCAGAAACAAACAAGGGAATTTCATGTAAAAGTCCTTCAAATGTTTGAAGATAGCATTCATGTTACTTCTTAGGCATCTCTTTTGTAAGTTAACCATCCCTAATTCTTCCGGCCTATCTTTTTATGATATGGTTTTGAGTCTTCTCAATCCTGGTCTTTCTTCTGGATGTGCTTCACTTTTCAATGGCACTTCTAAGAGGTGGTGCCTGGAAAAAGACACTGTACTCCAGATGTGACCTGACCAGATGAGAGTACATTGGGATCATCACCTCCCATGCTTTGTATATCAAACTTCTATTTGGTCAGCCCAAGATGAAGTTAACCTTTTTTTTTTTTTTTTTTTGATTGCTGTCTTGCATGTTAACACATTTTGAACTTATGGCCACTTAGAACTTAAAGTTCTTTTTCAGAAAAATTGCTTTCTACTTTTGTCTCACCCAACTTCTTACTTACACAGTTGATTTTTTAAAAGTAAATGTAGGACTGAACTTTATTCCTGTGAAATTTAAACTTGAACTTAAAACTGCCTCTATTTTTTTGTATACTGATTGTTTCATTTTAATACTGATTGTTTCATTTTATTAGTTATTGTTCTCTGCTTTTTGTCATTTTCAAACTTGATAAAAGTGTCTTCTGGATCTTCATCCAATTGACTAATTAAAATGTTGATTAAAATAGTCCCAGTGACACTCCACTAGGAACATCTCTCATGGTTGAGCTTACTTAATTAATTGATAGCCTGAGTTTAGTCAGTCAGCCAGTTCTGAACCTACCTGTCCTATCATTCAATACACATAGCTTTGTGTTATCTATAAAAATATCATGCTGTTAATTACTTTGCTAAAATCCAAATATTCTGTGTGTCTGTCATTCTTGTGATATGTTATTAGTTTGGTAATCCTTTCAAAAAAGGAACTAAAATTACATAAAATTTGATTTTTTTAACAACAGAAGAATAATTAAGAAGTTAGGAAAATTAATGATTCTTAGAAATTGCATTTACCAACAGAGTAAAACAAAATTTAATACACCACCACCTGGAACAGAGGCAAGAACCAGCCAGCAAACAAGCAAACAAACAAAAGCAACTATCCCCAAATTTATGTGGTCATGCCTTTTATTTTCAAGAGACCCTCTTAGGTGCTCACTATTTTCAAATGATAATCTTGATTATCTGTCTATAGTGAATGAGAATTGGAGAGAGGGCCTTTGGTTCACTGATAGTGTTGAATAATAATAGCTGAAATAAGAGCCCCCCACTCTGCCTATTGTGAGTATTTAGAAATATTTGATGAATTGACAGTCTGATAGCAAGGGAAGAAACAAAAAAGTAGAAGTGAGAACTCAAAATATAGGAATTTTAGAACCACTTAGGATCATAGAGTCATAAATTTTAAGGTGGGAGGGATATTAGAGGTCATCTAGTCCACCCTCATCATTTTATAGAAGAGGAGACTGAAGCCCAGAGAGGTCAAGTGGGTTGTCCAGGATCACTCAGGCACTATATGGCAGATCTAGGATTTGCACTCAGGTCCTCTGTCTGCGAATGTACTTCTTCCTCTGTACTGTCCTGCCTACACACAAAGAAATGAAATAGCTTCTGATGCTGTCACTACATTGTACAGTGTAGACTATTTATAATGATAACCTGAGCCATCAATAGCAGTTTTAATATGCTGTTCTAGAAGGCAGGGAAGTACCTCATCATCACTATCAGACATTAAGTATACACTATGTGCTTAGTGCTGGGGCTGCAAAGTTAAAGGCATTTTAATGGGAGAGACAACATGCAGACAGTTTTGTACATACCAATTTATATGTGGTCTAAGTGGGAGGTAGTCTCAGAGGGAAGACGTAGTGGTGGAGGAGACAAGGAAAAGCCTTCTGCAGAAAGTGCCATCTGAGCTGAGTTGAGGAAGCCACAAGAAAGACCATTCTAGGCATGGCAGGGGCCAGCTAGTGACCAAGGAATGAATTGGGAGATGGGAGTGTCATGTGAGAAACAGGGAGGCCAGTGTTGATGGATTAGACTATGTGAAGGAGAGTAAAATTTAAGAAGACTGTAGAGATAGGAAGGAGCCTATTTAAGAAGATTTATTTATTTATTTTTTATTTAAGAAGATTTCCTTACGAAATGATGCAAAACTTAAAGCAGTAAATCTTCGGCTATTAATGAAAATTGGATGTCCAGAATGACTTATTTCATAGAGGTCTGGATAGTTGAGTTTTAATTTTTCTTAATTATGCATTATGAAGAACTGATAGACATGATTACATATTTCAACATCTACAATGACAAATATATTTCTGTTTCTTCGTTGTACTCTAGTGCAAAGTCTTAGTACTGTCTTTTGACGTTAGAAATTTAAGGTATAGCACAGATAAGTGCTTTAATTTTTGTTTGAGTACTGGCATACATCATTACTATTAGATTTTTTTTTCTTCAGAGGCATATTGGAATAAAACTTCTGAGGGAAATTGTAGCTAAATTTAATCATGGGAGGGGCAGGTAGGTGGCATAATGAAGAGAGCACCGGCCTTGGAGTCAGAAGGACCAGAATTAAATTCTGGCCTCAGACACGTAACACTCAGTAGCTGTGTGACTCTGGGCAAGTCACTTAACTGCAATTGCCTCACCTCCAAAAAAAAATTAATCATGGGAAGGTTAAAGTGATTTGCCCGAAAAACAGATCTTCCTTCCAAACAGGACAGATTTTAATAGACAGGTTTTAATGTGGGCTAGAGTTTCACATTGTTTCTTTTAGAAATAAAAATGCATCAGTTTTAAACTTTAAAATAATGTAACTAAAGATTGTAGTATATAGTACATATGTAGTATATAAACCTGAATTTGGAATTAGGTTACATCTGGTTTTGAATCCAGCCTTTGACACCACTAACCAAGGCACTTAATTGGGCAAATCCTACAGTGTCTTTTTTTTTTTCCCCTTGAGTTACCACTTCTCTGTTAAATGTCAGTAATAGATGTAGTATTTAAGTGACTGTTGTGACAATCAAATCCAATAATTTTTATGGAGCATTAATAGTCTCAGGTGCTATGTAGATATCCATTATTCTACTATTACATATTGTCCAATAAATTGAGCATTGACTGGACATTTTATATTAAGGACAAAGTTAGATTGGTATCTTGATGGTGCTTGTAACTATGTAGCACTATAACTTTTGGATAAATTTATTATGAATTCTATTTCAGCTGAAGTGACTCACTGGGGTAACAATTTTTAAAATTAATGTAAAAGAACTGTGAATTGGGGTCTTTGCAAAATCACCAGGGGTTCATGAGGCACATATAAAGTATAGGCATTTGTGTTTTTCAGAAAGAATTCAGAATTATGCTGCAGCTTTTACAATGTTGGGTTATTTAAATGAATATCTACAACTGAAGAAAGAGGCAGCTGATGCATACCAAAGGTAAAATATGTGCTTAACATTAATTGAGAAATAAAAATATTCTTTATTTTCTTATTGAAGTTAATGAACCATCAGAGCACCTAGTACAATAGTAATGCCTGTACTAAATAAATAAATGTTTTGTAATCTTTCATCATATGTGAACATATTTCTAAGGGTAGGAAAGATGGAAAGTTGGGTTTTCATATATATATATATATATATATATATATATATATATATATATATGTATATATATGTATGGTCTTGATTCCACCACATGATTTTAAACATTTTCTTTTTAGAGAAGTCTATAGTTTCTATATAGAAGTTGATATTTCTCTGTAGCTTGGTCTGCTTTGTAAAATGAATTTGTTCAGTCAGTGAAGGTGGAAGGAGAACCAAAAAGTATCTTCCAGATAACATTATAGAAAGACCTGGAATAATCCACTAACCTTTGAATAATGTTATTACCTATGTATTATGAGAGGAATGTAATTTTTTGTTCAACTATACCCAATAGAGGCACTTTAGTAAAAGAAAAAAAATCATTTTTACCTTAACTTCATGATATGTAGTATAGTGTTCCTTTGTTAAATGCATTTATTCCATCAGAGAAAGAATTGCTTAGTTGTACCTTCTGAGAAGCCCTGGATGGGCACCTAGCAGCAGTTTAAAGGAGTAACCTCTAGCTGGCTTAAGAGATTGTATAATTACCAATCCTGGTTTATTGTTGTCTAGGTAACTGTAGTGGAGATTGATGATAAAGCCACATTCTAAGTACCCTTTTTATGCCATTTTCTACTTCTGTATAGCCTCTTTCCCAATTGCTATTACCACAGATCTAGTACTTACACAATCACAATTTAAAACTACAATTCACTGAGAAGTCATGCTGACTTTCTTTCCCAGCCTATGTAAATGATGTAGTTCACAATGAAGATGAAAAGAATAATATTACATGTAGATTATTTTAAAAAATTTTCTCTTTTGCCAAGGGCAATTTTATTACTACAGAATGAAGAAAAACAAGAAATCTATAATGTTACAGTAAGAAATTATGGACGCTTGTTATGGTAAGCACGTTATTTTCCATCAACTTTTATGGGGTCAGTTCTTATTTTTATCCCAAAAGCATTTTATGAAACTTTCAGTGAATTCATTATTTTAAATGGGAATGTTATAAGCATTTTTTACTTTTTAAAAAATTTTTAAATATGATATCCTATTTTTGAAATTTGGATTTGATCCCAATTTGCCAAAACTTTTTTAGTTTAATTAAACTTAATTTGGAATAGTTTCTTTGCTTGCAGTTGGCATGTGGGGAACAGAATATGTCACTCCCTTACTACTCTTTGGAATGCTAAAGGAAAAACAAAATTCTTTATGTAGTTATTCTCCAGATTATGAATATTTGACTCTCAGATTTTAGCTTTGCACATGAGTCTTGTTTTCTACACACCCTGAAACTTCTCTGAACAACAGCTGAGGTATTTTAGATTGATGGCAATGCCTAATAGCCCATTTAGGAACTTTCAGACCTCTCCCAACCCTCAACAAGCAAATTCACTTTCTTCTCTTTGAAGGAGATTATGGATACATCATGTTTATCCTTTCCCATTTTCTTTTGGTTTTTACTTCTGATCAGTTAATTTCTTTATCACCCATAAATATCTTTGCTAATTCTCTTCTAATCTTATTCTTCCTTACTCTCTTCCATATCTCTCTAAGTTACTTCAGACCAATCTCTGCTTGTGCCTCTGCTTTCTTCACTTCTGTCCATTTATTTTTACCCTTTTTCTCTCTTTTCTATTTTTTCTCATCTTTTTTTTTTTATTTGTGATAGTAGCTAATAGTTATTGTTTATGTAGTCCTTTAAGGTTTTCAAAATGCTGTACATACATTATCCCCTTTGATCCTCACTACAACTCTGTGAGACAGAAACTATTATTTCATTTTATAAATGAGGGAACTGAAGCTCAGAGCCATTAGGTGACTTGCCAAGAGTCACACAGCCTGTTAAGAGGCAGAATTTAAACCCAAGTCCTTTTGACTTCAAGGCCAAAGCCTAGGCCTAATCATAAATGATAGTTTTGTCAGGGGCAGTTAGGTGGTGCAGTGAATAGAGTATTGGCCCTGAAGTCAGGATGACCTGAGTTCAAATCTGGCCTCAGACCAAACACTTGACACTTACTAGCTGTGTGACCCTGGGCAAGTCACTTAACCCCAATTGCCTAAAAAAAATTTTAAATTAAAAAAAATAAATAAAAAGTAATGTCAATAATGAACTTTATTTTAAAAAGAAGAAAAGCTATAAATTTTGGAATAAAATTAGTCAAAATAACCAATCCCACCAACATCTAAATATTTTGAATACAATCACTTCTAAAGCTCCACAGCTCTTTCTTTGGATTTAAACCTTTTTCTTAAGTTAACTAGCAAATCAAAATAATTTTCTCAATAAAATATATTGCTTTTGCATTTTTATTATTAACATTGTAGTAATATTTTCATTGAATATAGATCCTTCTGTCTAGCCTCTTCCTTTTATAGATTAAGGAGGGCATCATGATGTAATGGAGAGACCACTTGATTTAGAGGCAGGAGCCTGGGTTCAAATACTTACTCTACTAGTTATGTCTTACTTCCTTTAACAACGACTAGGATTTATATAGCCCTTTAAGGATTGCAAAATGCTTTAGAATTATTAGCTCATTTGATCCTTGAAACAGTCCTGAGAGGTAGGTGCTATTATTATCCCCATTTTATAAATGAGAAAACTGAAGCACAAAAAGTTTAAGTAACATGCCTCAGGTCACTCATCTAGTGGCAGGATGTGAACTCAGATGTTCTTGATTTTAAGCCCATTACTCTTACCCACAGCTGGTGGCATAATGATGGCAAGCCCTGGGCTTGGAGTCAGGAAGACTCGAATTCAAACCCAACACTCCCTAACTGTGTGACCCTGGGCAAGTCAATCACTGTCTGCTTCAATTTTCTCATCTCTCAAATGGGGGTAATAATTGTACCCACTTCCTATGGTGCTTGTGAGGACCAAATAAGATAATATTTGTAAAGCTCATAACACAGTGCCTAGCACAGCAGTAGGCACTCCACATATGCATATTGCCTTTCTTCTTCACTGTAGCATCTAGCTGACTTTAGGTATGTCACTTATCCTTCTTTATGCTTGTTTCCTTATTTCTTAGTTTTAAAATTAAATTTATTTTTTTATTTGAATTTAATTTATTTTAAAAAATATTTAATTTTTTTTAAATTTTAAGTTCAAACGTTTTCCTCTCTCTCCCTGCACTATTTGTAAAACCATCCTCTGTATACTTCTTTTTATCAGTTCTTTTTCTGGAGGTGGATAGTATCTTCCTTCATAGGTCCTTTATAGTTGATCTGAGTGTTTATGGTACTTAGAATAACTTGGTTGTTCACAATTGTTCTTCAAACAATGTTGCTGTTACTGTGTATAATGTTCTGTGGGTTCTGTTCACTTCACTTTTCGTTATTTCATGCAAGTCTTTCCATGTTTTTCTAAAATCATCCAGCTCATCATTTCTTACAGCACAGTAGTATTCCATCACAATCATATACCCCAGCTTGTTTAGCCATTCCCTGATTGGTGGGCATCCCCTCAATTTCTAGTTCTTTGCTACCACAAAGAGATATTTTAGAACATTTTCATTTTTCCCTGATCACTTTGAGAAACAGACCTAATGGCGGTTGTTTCCTTATTTATTAAACGAGGAAGTTGAACTAGATTGGGGGTTTTTAACTTGCTTTTGTGTTTGATAAAGCCTGTAGAACCTATTTCAGAATTCTTAAACACATAAAATAAAACATGTAGGATTATAAAGAAAACCAATTACATTGAAATCTGGAGTTATCAAAATATTAAAAAACAAAACAAAACAAAAATTCTCAGAGCACATATTAAGAACCCTTCAGTCACTAGATAATTTTTTTGGGTCCCTTTTAACACAAAAAACAATGAGCCTGTGAAACTGAGTTTAGTACTGTCTGAGGCCACAAAGGTACCATGTGGCAGAGAAAGGATTTGAACTCTGGTCTTTGGACTTAGAATACAGTGCTTTTTCCACAAACCTACTATATTTTAACTACATTATGCTCTAGGACTTCCATCCTCATTATTAGAACCTTATCAGGGTGTGGAGATGTCACCCTTAGTATTCAAAGACTATGGGTAATGGGCAAGTTGCTTAATTTCTTTGTACCTTTGTTTCCTTATCTGTAAAAACAGGGAGAATATTACTGTGACATCCACTTCATAAGCCTGTTGTGAAGACTGTATAATATATGTAAATGCACTTTGCCAAAATCTTAGCATGCTGTATAAATGTAAATGAATGAATAAAGTATTTATCAAGTATTTTTTATTATTACTATGTGCAAAGTACTATGCTAAGTGCTGGGGATAAACATAGAAAAGTAAGACGGCCACTGTTCTCGAGAAGCTCCCATTCTCATACATATCAGTGATTATTGGCTATGTCAGAAGAGTGCATCCTCTGGAAGATTCTATCAAGCTGGAAAAGCTTTGAGCCCCAATAATAGACTGCTTACTGAAGAAAATAATTCCTTAAAAATCAGAATTGGGCATGCGGAAGCTACTTATCCCATGACACATTAAGAAACAATAAAACAAATTCAAAAAGATGAAAAAATGAAAGAAAATGTTAAATACCCTATCAGAAAAATAACTGACCTGGAAAATAAATCTACACGAGACAATTTATGAGTTATTAGATTTCTTGAAAACTGTGATCAAACCTAGACATCATATTTTAAGAAATTGTCAAGGAAAGCTTGATATCTTTAAAAGATATCAAGATATCGGAAAGCCCCGATATCTTTAAACCAGAAGGTAAACTAGAAATCAAAAGAATCCACCGATTACCACCTGAAAGAGATCCCAAAATGAAAACCCCATGGAATATTATAGCCAAATTCCAGAACTCCCAGGTCAAAGAAAAAACATTTCAAGAAGCCTGAAAGAAACCATTCAAATACCAGGGATCCACAGTGAGATTTGCACAAGATTTAGTAGCTACCACATTAAAGTGGAAGGCTTGGAATATGATATTCCAGAAGGCAAAAGAACTGGTATTACAATCAAGAATAACCTACTCAACAAAACTGAGTATAATCCTTCAAGGGAAAAAGCATCTCCAGGGTGGCTAGGGGGCGCCATAGTGCACAGAACACTGGTCCTGTAGTCAGGAAGACTCATCTTTCTGAGTTCATATCTGGCCTCGAACACTGGCTGTGTGACCCTGGGCAGGTCACTTAACTCTATTTGCCTCACTTTCCTCATCTGTAAAATAAGTTGGAGAAGGAAATGGCAAATCACTGTAGTATCTTTGCTAAGAAAACCCCAAATGGGGTCACAAAGAGTTGGACACGACTGAAAATGACTGAACAACAACAATCTAGGACCATATAACTAGATTTTGCATACCAGTGAACATTCTACCAGATGGATGGCAGTTACTAATAGGTTTATCCCTTTAAAATTTTTTGGAATTGACAGAATTTCGCTCAAATTTAGCTCAAGATTTGAATTAATAAAAAATTGAAACGTTATTGACATGCTTGCAACAGATTATTATAATGTTAATCAGGAGTGGTTAGGAAAAAAAGTCCCTTAAAATGTAGTCAACATAAAGCCTTTCCTTTTGTAATACAATGGTCATTTACTGGGGCGAATGACGTCATAAAGCTAGTGAAAAATAAGAATTGTACTTTGGTTAGGTGTTTTAAAATTAGCGTATATCTTTCCAACTCTTTGAGATGTACACCTAGTAATGGTTTTACTTGGGTCAAAGGGTATGCACAGTTTAATGGCTTTTTGGGAAAAGTTCCAAATTGTTTTCCAGAATGGCTGGACCATTTCAAAGCTCCATAAACTTTACCTCTGTCAGTTTACCTCTTTTCCCACAGCCCCCTCCAACATTTGTGTTTTCCTTTTTTGTCAACTTTGCCAATCATATGGGTCTCTAATTATTAGTGATTTAGAACATTTTTTCACGTGGCTATTGATAAGTTGGATAAAGACATAATTAGTATCTGTTATATTACCTTTTTTATTTCTAACTGTTTAGGTTTACCATCTCATAGGTTTAGAGCCAGAGAGAGCCTTAAAGGTCATACAATCTAATCCTTTCATTTTGCAATTTACAGTTGAGGAATCGGCCCCAGGGAGCCTAAGTGAAGAATAAATTACTTGCTCCTCAAAGTCGTACAGGTCTAAATGACAGAACCAGGCTTCAAGTCACAGAAATACTTTATTTTTCTGCCTTTTCTCTCCACATCTGGAAAACATATTTCTTCGGCATACAGCAGAACAAAATGTAGATGTGCAAGAAATAAAATGTCTGTTCCATTCTATCAAAAGATTAACATTTTAAAAGAAAATTTATTCCCTTCATTTGAAACCTTGGAATCTTCTATCTTCACAAATACTTATTGCAAAATTAGGACTTGTAAGACCAATAACATCTTATCCCAGAAAAATCTTTTCTCTAATCCCTGAATATGAATCCAAAAGATGCAAACTGCATCTCTATTTTATTAGTTTTTGAAAAAACTTTTTGACTGACTTCTAGAGGATTTATTTCTAAATGCAACATATGTGAATAATATTATTTTTCCTTATTTCTTGAGATAGAAAAACTTCTAAGTTAATGTTGTATGTGGAACTAAACGTGTTCATATTTGTTGCACAATAAAGTTATGTGCTTGTATGGTTTTTGAAAAAAGAGGTATACTTATAACAAATAGTAAGCAATATGATATGTGCAGAGCATGCTTATAAAAAGTATTGGATTCAGAGTCAGAAGACTAATGTTCAAATCTGTTATTGACCTTGGGCAAACTATCTCTGAGCCTCGGTTTTCTAATGTGTAAAATGAGAGAGTTAGGTTGGGTGAGCTTTAAGGTTCCTTCAAATTTTAGATCCTGTGATCTAAGTATATCACTGTTGTTGGAAATCCACCTGCAGTTGCAGAATTTACTTTCTTTCATTTTTTCTTTTTTTGGCTTTTAAAATAAATCTTTTTAATGCTATCAATAACTTGGCAAAAAATATGCCAAGTCATTCTTATGTCTTGTGTTCATTTGTTAACTATTTACCATAGCGTTACATTTAATTGCATTAAGGATATCCATTTAGAAATAAATTTGTACATTATTGAAATTGGTTGAGAATTCATTTTAACTTTAAAAATTGCTTTGTAAGTACTTAGCCTAATTAAAATCAGTCTTGTTATAGAGGATAGAGTACCAGACTGAGAGTCAAGAGAGAACTAAGTTCAAATTGTTCGTAGCTGTGTAATCACGGGCAAATCATTTAACTTTTCTGAGCCTTGGTTTCCATATCTATAAAATGAGGATATTAATCAAATCAGCAAGCATTTATTAAATGATGATGTGCTAGGCACCATGCTAAGTGCTGAAGGATGGACAAACAAAACAGTCCCTGTATTCTAGCTTGTATTCTATTAGGGAAGACAACAAATGTAAATATTTATCAGGAAAGACTTTACATAGAAAGTAGTGCTTAAGCTGAGTGCTGAAGGTAACAAGGGATTCCAGGGGACAAGGTGAGGAGAAAGTATAGGAATAGGGAATAGCCAATGCAAAGGCACTAAGACAGATGAGGGATTGTCTTGTATCAGGAAAAACAAAAATATATGGGGCAAGAAAAATAAGTTGCATTCAGTTTGTGAAGGGCTTTAATTGCCAAACACAGGACTTTATATTTGATTCTAGGGCTAATAGGGAGCTTCTGAAGTTTATTGAGTAGAAAAGTGACCTCATCAGACTTGGCTATTTCACAAGGCTGTCTGGTAGACCAATCAATCAACAGGTATTTATTAAGCAATTGCTGTGTGATGAAATGAGATAATGTGTTTAATCAGCCTTGCAAACTTTTTAAAGAACTATACACATTCAACTATTATTATCATAAGACAAAAATGTTCACATGTAATTTAAATGGAGCAAAGTTTGAAGGCCATTACTATTACTCGAATATCCATTTTGAATTGCATAATACTTTTAACTTCTTTCTAAATATTTAGTATTCTGTTTTATGGTATTTCAGTATTGGTGGAATATTAAACCTTATCTATAAAAAAGGTAAATGTAAATGAATTTCCTACAGCAAGAGTTCCTAGTAAAATATAATTCTTGAGTTGTTACACACTCCTATTTTTGATGATATAAATTAGATTCCTTTTCTCCTCAGTGCTATTGGTGAATGTGATAAAGCCATCCAGGCTTTTAAGTCAACCCCTCTGGAAGAATTTGATGACATCGTAGGTCTTGCACTGGCTTTATTCAAGAAAGGACTTTTCCAAGAGAGCAACAAAGGTGAGTCTGTTGCATGAGGCAAAAGAACATGTCTTCCCCAGGGTTGATTAGAATTTACCTTTGTACTTTAAATGCTTTGTTATACTTATTAAGTTTAAATTTTTGATATTGTAAATTGATAAGCTACTTTTTAATGGTGGACAAAAACCAAAACAGATTAGCCTTTTGGGTTTTCCTGGGGCATGCTAAGACACTTGCTACTTTTATTGGACCATTAGGCATTTATGTTACCCAAGACTCGGTTTATAGCATGACCCATTTATTGTTCCATGGGTCTAAACCTTTGAGTATCCCATGGCTACTGAAGTGGAATTACCTCTGGCCCAGGCTGTGTCCTAGAGTAGGGTACCTTCAAACCTGTCTGGGAAATCTGAGGGTAAGAGAATGATTGGATAGTAGAAAAAAGAATCTCACAAGGCAACTTTTTTGGTCCAGATTCTCAGGGATCACCATCGTAGTAATTTAGCCAAATGAATCAATAATCCTTATTGTATTCCTTGAAAACAAGGTAACAATTAAGATGTACATTCTCTTTGCCTCTGTTTTTAAAATTTCATAGTAATTGGGATTACTTTTCATACCATTTCATTTTTGTTTCCAATTCACCTTAATTAACAGCCTATGAGAGAGCCTTGTCCATTGTTGAATCAGAGCAGGACAAAGCTCATATCCTGACGGCCCTGGCAATAACAGAATACAAACAAAATAAAATGGACATAGCCAAGACATTACTATTCAAATGGTATGTATAGTTGACATTAATGTTTAGTCATGTTTATGTCGGAGGATGACTAGGTTGAAATTTGTGTTTATTCAGAAGCAGAAACTACATTGTTGGAAACAGCGGTTGGTGGCCCTTTGATTATGAGCTATTGAACTATCAGGTGGTGTTAGGGACATATATGCATTCTTAGATCTTAACAAATTATTTTCCTTATCATGGCAATATGTATTCTAATGGTTTCTATACTTTTTGAGACAAGACAGTTAGGAAACAGCCCATCAGCATTCTTTCTTGACTTCCTAAAGTTTTTTTTTTTCCCCAGTCACTAAGCTTTTGTTCAGTGTCTACTATATGCCAGGCACTGTGGATACAAAAAGAGACCTAAGTCATTCCTTGCCTTTAAGGAACCGACATCTTAATGGAGGAGACAACAAACAAACAAATATGTTCAAGCAATGTATGTATAGGATAAATAGGAAATTACAAAAGGAAGGTGCTAGAAAAAGAGGAGTTAGGAAAGTCTTTCTGTAGAAGATGGAATTTTAGTTGGGACTTGAAGGAACCCAAGGAAATCAGAAGGCAGAGATGAAGAGGGAAAGCATTCCAGCATGGGGGACAGCCAGAGAAAATGCTGGGAATCAAGAGATGGAGTGTCTTGTTTGAAGAACAGTGAGGACGCCAATGTCATTTGATTGAAGAGTACATAGCAGGGAGTAAAGTGTAAGAGGGTTGGAAAGTGAGGAAGGGGCAATGTTATGAAAGTCTTTGAATGCCAAACAGGATTTTGTGTTTGATCTTGAAGACAACAGGGAGCTCCTGGAATCTACTGAATAGGAGGTGGTATGGTGGGACTTGGCTTTAGGAAAATCACTTAGGTGATGGAAAGGAGGATATATAGAAATGGGAAAAGACTTGAGGCGGGAAAATTCACCACCAGGCTATTGCAGTAGCCCAAACGTGAGGTGATAAGGGCATTACTAAGGTAGTGGCGGTATTGAGGAGAGAGAGGGATGTATTCAAGAGATGTTGCGAAGATGAAGTCCACAGGCCTTGGCAACAGATTGGATATGGGGAGGTGAGGGGAGGAATCAGGATTGTTCCTAGATTATGAGCCTGAGGAACTGGGAAGATGGTGTTGCCTTCTTCAGTAGAAGGGAAGGTAGGGAGGGCAAAGGGTTTAAGGGTAAAGATAATGAGTGCTGATTTGGACATGTTGAGTTTAAGATGTCTACTGGACATTCCTGAAAGTCAGTTGGAGATGTGAGATTGGAGGTCAGCAGAAATTGAAGCAAAAGAAAGGTAGATTTGAGAATCATCAGCCTTGAGATGATAATTAAATCCATAGGAGTTTTAGACATAAAGAGTGATATCATAAGCAAATTAGAGGAGCATGGAAAAATTACCTGTCAAATCTATGGATAAGGGAAGATTTAATTACCGAACAAGAGATAGAGAAGATCATGAGAGGTAAAATGAATTATTTGAATTATATGAAAAGAAAAAGTTTTTGCAGAAACAAAACTACTGGAGCCAAAATTAGAAGAAAGCAGGAAACTGGGAAAGAATTTCTTTACAGCAAGTTTCTCTGATAAAGGCCTTACTTCTCAAGTATATAGGGAACCTAATCAAATTTATAAAAATTAGAGCCATTTCCCAATTGAGAAATGGTCAAAGGATATGAAAACAGTTTTCAGAAGAAGAAATCAAAGCTATCAATAGTCATATGAAAAAATACTCTAAAAAAAATCATTGATCATTGTAGAAATGAAAATTAAAACAACTTTGAGGTACCACCTTACATTTATCAGATTGGCTAAAATGACAGTGGAAGGAATGTGGAAAAATAGGGACACTAATGTACTGTTTGTAGTCTGACCGGGTCCAGCTATTCTGGAGAACAATTTAGAACTGTGTCCAAAGGGCTATAAAACTGTCTTAACCTTTGACCCAACAATATCACTACATCTGTATGCCAAAGAAATCAATGAAAAAGGAAAAAGACCTATGTGTACAAAAAATATTTATAGCAGCTCTTTTTGTGGTGGCAAAGATTTGGAAATTAAGAGCATGCCTCTCAGTTGGGGAATGGCCAAACAAGTTGTTGCATATGATGGTGAAGGAGTAATTTGTGCTGTAAGAATTGATGAGGAGGATGGTTTCAGAAAAACCTGGGAAGACTTGTATGAACTAAAGCAAAGTGGAGTGAACAGAACTAGGAGAACCAATGAACACTGATAAAGTACAGTGAAACATATTTTTTTTTTACTTTATTTTTCTTGCTCTTTTTCTCTTCACAACATGACTAATGCAGAAATATGTTTTGCACGACTTCGTATGTATAATGAATATCATGTTACTTGCTTTCTCAATGGATAGGGAAAGAGTTGGATGTTGGAAGGGAATTTGGAACTAAAAAATTGTTTAGAAAACAGAATTTTTTTTTTGTTTTGATTTCTTAGATTACTAAGTAGAATAGTATAGTAAGAGAAGAAAAGCAGACGCAGATCAGAGCCTTGTAAGACACCTAGGATTAGAGGGCATGATCTGGATGAAGATCTAGTAATAGAGATTGAGAAATAGTGATCTGAGAGTAGAACCAGGAGAGAGTGGTGTCCTGAAAAGCTAGAGAGAAGACAGTATCAAGGAGAGAATGATCAGCAGTGTCAGAGGCTGCATTGAAGTCATGAAGAATGATGATTGAGAAAGGGCCATTGGATTTGGCAATTAAGAGATCATCGTAGAGGCAGCTAGGTGGCGCAGTGGATAGAGCACCGGCCCTGAAGTCGGGAGGACCTGAGTTCAAATTCGGCCTCAGATCAAACACTTGACACTTACCAGCTGTGTGACCCTGGGCAAGTCATTTAACCCCAATTGCCTAAAAAAAAAAAAAAGAAGAGAGAGAGAGATCATCGGTGACTTTGAGATAATCAGTTTCAGCAAAATGATGAGTTTGGAAGCCAAATTGTGAGGGTTTAAGAAGAGAGTGCAAGGAGAGAAAGTAGAGGCACCTATTATAGACATCCTTCTCAAGGAGTTTAGGCACAAAGGGTGGAAGAGATATGGATGATAACAGGAATGGAAAGATTGAAATTTTTTTGAGAATGGGAAAGATGTGAACATATTTGTAGTAGGAAAGAAGCCAGTACAAACAGGGAGACATTGAAGATAAGTGATAGAGAGGACAATCCGTTAGAGGAGACAGCATGAAATGGGATTGCTTGTAGAAGTGGTGGATTTTGCCTTGGTAAGGAGTAAGGCTACCTCTGTGTGAAACAAAGGTGAAGGAGAAGAATGTCAGAGGGCATCTGAATGATATGAAATGAGGAAGAAGGAGCTCATAGTGAATGGCTTCAATTTTTTCTGTGAAATATGAAGCAAGATTCTCAGCTGAGAGGTGAGGAGAGGAGGAGCCATGAGAGGCTTGAGAAGGGAAGAAAATGCTTGGAAGAGTCATATGGAGATTGGGATAGTGAATTGATAAGGGAGGGAGTAGAAAGATTGCCCAACAGCAGTGAGAGCTCAGTTGAGGTTGTATAGCATAAATTTGAAGGGGACCTGGTCAGAACAGTTGCTTGGTTTTATTCACCTCTGTTCAGTAGCGTGTTTATAGGAATGAAGGTGAAGGATGGTGGGAAGGCTGACTTGGTAGGGTACAGTAGGTGATATGATTGGGTTAAGAAGCAGCCTTGGTGAATACAGAGGTAGGTTCTGATCTTCTTTCTCTATATGATCAGGAATCATTATTCCTGTTTCATGCTGCTAGATTTTTATCTAGTTCCTGTCTATCTTATATTTTAGTTGTTTTTTTTTTTAAACATCCTCAGTGGTGGTTTCTTTCATTTTTTTTACCAAAACTGATAATTCAAGAATGGTACATTATTAGTGGATGTGCAGTCACTTTTGAATGGTTACTCTATAGTATAGTACTTTTTGATGTGGAGAAGTCAGGAGGGTAATTGGAGACGTGGAATATAACCACATAAAAATCTTTGAAAGTATTTACAAAGATAAAAATAAGTAAATTAGAACTGTACACCCCTTGAAGGCAGGAACTTTGTTCTTGTATTCGTCTTTGTAACTTTAACATCTAACACAGGAGTTTGTATTTAACATCTTAGAGTAATATGTTTTTGTTGAATGAATAGTATATGACTAGAATATCTAAGTAGTGAGATGGTTTTGGTTCAGTAAATACTGAGTTTGATGAGGTAGACTTTTATAAATTATAGATACTAAATATTGTTTGCATAGAAGATGATTTTTTTTCCTTTTGAATCAGTGTACAGAACAAGCTTTGCTCCTTTGTCACATTGCTACAGTTTCTTCTTTCTTTCTGGCATACCTGTTTGATTGTTAGTGTTGTCTATTACCATTACTATTACCATTATATATCCTTGCTTGGGCTACATTTCTAGATAAATCTAAACTCCAGGCATGTTTTCTTACTCTTGTTTGTTTCTGATAAGCTTGTTTCCCCAGAACATTCTTACGTAAATTAGAACTTTAATGCTTATTTACTATTACAGAGAACTAAATGTATTGCTTTATACCTCCAATAACACTACATTGACTCAACAGGTATGTCATTTTGTGACATTATTCATCGATAATAATTGCTTTCACTTAATTCTTCTGAGTTCTTTTTGAAAGACTTTTGGGAGAGGTATAACCCAAAGTTCATAGTAATTACTAGGAATATTCCTAAGTTTTATCCTAAGTTTATAGGTCAGAAGCATGGTATAATGGAAAGAGCACTGGCCCAGAATTTGAGAGTCCTGGGTTCTAAGCTTCATTCTACCTCTATCTAGTTGGGAAAACTTGAGTAAGTTACCTGACCTCTTTAGGCCTGTTCCTTTATTGGTAAAGTGAAGTGACTGGACTAATGCTCTCTCAGGTAAGAAAGTCTCTAAGTCTAAGGTATTTTTTGTCTGTTATTAATAAGCCTTCCTATCCATTTTTACCTTAGCATCAAGAAAACTAAATCAGAATTTCACAGGGGATGTTTATATCCATTGCCAAAATTCTCCTTGAGCCTTACATTTCATTAGGTCCAAAAAAATAATTGACTGGAGTTATAATAGAGATGACTGAAATTTGTAGCTTACACACAGAGTTCTGGTTTTAGCAACATTGTGCTAATTGAATGGAACCTTTTCTGGGGAACCATGAGAAAGTAAATGATTTTACATTAAGGAAATTATTTTTTCATCCTTTGTCATGCATTTCGGGATGGTTATTGAAGGCAGACGTCTTTGTCAGATTTATTTCAGCTACTTCTCAAGAGTTCTACAGAACTTGACTCATTGTTTTTAAGGACTTTAAATAATTTGATCTGGAAATAAAGGGTGGACAGGTATCTTTCCCTCCAATCCCCCACTCCATGAATCAGTAAAACATATAGATTTTTGTATATATAATAGTTTTATCATCCAGAGAAATCAGGATTTGCTCTGGTGAGACATTTTTAGTAGAAATGATTTTAGGCAAAGTTTCTATGACAGATAATTGTCAAGCTTCCTGGAAACTGTATTCAAGTGTCCTGGTTTTTTTTTTTTCTCTTTTCTGAACTTACAGTTCTATCTTAAAGGAACCAACCACTGAAAGTCTTCAAGCACTCTGTGCTCTGGGGCTGGCAATGAAGGATGCTACTCTCTCAAAAGCAGCACTTAATGAGTTATTAAAGCATGTAAAACAGAAAGGTGATAATTATCAGAAGTGCCTTATTACATCAGCTGTTTATGCACTACAAGGTCGAAATGTGTCAGTGCAGAGACAAGTGTCTAAAGCTGTCCACAGGTAAAAATCTATATTTGAGAACTTTGAATTTCACTTGATATGGTTAGCTTTAGTATAAGATCTTAGTGAACATAGTAAAATGAGGTAAGTCCATTATGAAATGTTAGTAAAAACCAATCCCTTTTAAGTGAAAGGCTTACAATGTTGACAAAGCTTGCTTCCCACCTTCTGACAGAGGTGATACTCCCAAGGTGCAGAATGAGACATACATTTTCAAAACACAGCAAATTTGGGAATTTATTTTGCTTGACTATACATGTTTATTGCAAGGGTTTTGGTTTTGGTTTTGTTGCATGAGAGGAGGGGGCTGGAGGAAAAGGATCTGGCATTGTGACCATAGGCAAGTTACTAAACCTTGGGGTGCCCCAGGGTTCTCACTAACAATACAAATGACAGATGAATTGTCAGTCTGAATAGTGGAAGACCTGCACTGATGAAATTATAGATCTGAACTCTTCCATCTGCCCCAGTAGGTACATAAACCCATTTGAGGTCTACCTTCATACAAGCTCGATTAGGAGAAGCCTTTTCACTTGCAGTCTGATCAAGCCAATAAATTGGGGTTACTGCAGTTTCCTTTAGTAGTTTAGTTCTTTGCAGTCTCTTCTCACAGATAACCATTTTCTATGTAACTTAAATTTGACCTTATTAAATATGAAACTCCTTGTGATGTTGAAGGCAAATAATTGCTCAGATATCGAGACCATGTAGTACAGTGGATAGAGAAGTAGTCTTGACTCAGGAAGACGTGGGTTCAATTCTTCCTCTTCTGTAAGCTGACTGAGATGACAATGTCACTTCACCCCTCAGTGCTCAGGTAACTCTGTAAGCCTATAAGTTGTAGAAAAGCTGCTTCATTACATAGGTTAAGGGAGTTTCCTCACCTTTATCTCTCCCCTTTGATGATAGTCATATGGTTTTTTCAGAGAGACATTATAGAGTCTTTCAACAAAAGACCCTTGGGCCCTGAAAAGGACCTAAAATGAAGGAGTCTGATTAGAGATGATAAAAGTGTTTATTGTCTGAGAAGAGCTTGAGTAAGTGGGGCAAAGAGGTAGAGAGATCTCAGCTGCTCAAAGGGCAGTGGGGAGAAAGGTGAAATATTTATGGTTTTTAGAGGTTTTTGGGCAGAGAGCGTTTTCAGTGGGGCCTGGAGGTGGGGTATAGGGTGGAGATGTCTATAGATACAATAAGAGTAAGGTGTTTGAAAAGTCCCCAGTCTGCAATTGCTGCTCAAGGCCACCCTTGAGCTGTTCAAGACTGGTCTAGTCTCTGCAGGCATCTCCAAGTTCATCTAGAGTTCACATCGCAAAGCATCACTGGTATGTCAAGCATTTTTGGGCTTCAGAAGCCTTTCTGATTAACTAGTTACTGTGTAACTTTGACAGGTTGGTGTAGGCATTACAGAGCCTACGGTAACAAGCCCATATGGCAGAAAATAGCTTATGTTTTTCTTGAAAACTCAGAACTTCATGTTGAGCAAGGAACACATATCGTGAATTCATTTTATATGACTAAAATATTTTTATACTTAAAAGTTCTGAAGGAAATGAAAATTGAAAATTGTTTTGTTTGTTTTTGTTATAGATAACTCCATTTTAAATGTTGTGGCTTTTGATTTCTTTTATAGTAACCCAGCAGACCCTGCCCTTTGGTCTCTTTTATCCCGAGTGGTCCCTCAGTATACTCCACGAAATGCCCAAGTAAGTTATTCCCTAAAGTCTGCCAGAAATAGAAATAATATATGCCATTGTATTGGAAGTGTTACAGTTTTTAAGTAAGTTTTACAACTGTCACAGAATCTCAATGTTAGAAGGGTCCTAAGTATTCCATCTAGAGAGTTCAACCCATACTTGGCTAAGAATCCCTACTACAATATCAGTAATGTGTTTATCCAAGTTACATTTGAAAACCTCCTCTCACCTGAAAACCACTTTCTCCAGAAACAACTCATTCTCCTTTTTTGTGGTTATTCACTTGTTTTCAGTCATGTCTGACTCTTTGTGATCCCATTTGGGGTTTTCTTGGCAAAGATACTGGAGTGGTTTGCCATTTCCTTCTCCAGCTCATTTTACAGATGAGGAAACTGAGACAAATAGAAATAGAGTTAAGTGACTTCCCCAGGCTCACACTCCTAGTAAGTGTCTGAGGCCAGATTTGAATTCGGTTTCCTCCTGACTCCAGGGCCAGTACTCTTTTCACTGTGTCACCTTGCTGCCTTTAGTTGTTCAATAATTGTGAAAATGCTCCTTATATCGAACTAAAATAAATATCTCTTCTTGAATTCTATCCATTACTCCTGCTTTTGCCCTTTTGAGCCCAGAACAAGTCTATTCTTTCTTCCATGTGATAGCTGATAAAATACTTGAAGGCTTTTATTATGTCTATTGGGGTGGGGAACCTGCGGCCCTGAGACCACATGTGACCTAGGTCCTTGGGTGCGTCTAAGTTTTACAGAGCAAATCCTTTTATTAAGGGATCATTTTATTAAGAGGATTTATTCTGTAATTTTGGATTCAGTCAAAGGGTCTCATTTGAGGACCTAGACGGCCACATGTGACTTTGAGGCCGCAGGTTCCCCACCTGGGTCTGAGTCTTCTTTTTTATGTCAGATGTTTCCAGTGCTTTCAGTTTATTCTTATATGACTGTAATCAGCTTATCATTTGGTTATACTCCAGAGTTCTTCCTAAAATGTGATGCCCAAAACTGAATAGAGTACTGCAAATGTTTGCCCAGGGATGAGTACAATCAGTGGGACTATAGCCTTTCTCCTCTTGGATACCATTATCTCCCTTAATTCAGTCAAAGATAACATTTTTTTGGTTGCCGAGCAACATTTTCAATTCTTATTAAATATCTAGTCCACTAAAACACCTATGACTTTTTCATAAAACTTGTCCATCCATATCATACCTATCTTTTCCTTTTAAAGTTGATTTTATGAACCCCAATATAGGGCTTTATGGTTAGAGTTCTAGATTTAGAGTCAGGAAGGTCTGAGTTGGAACCTTGCCTCAGATACTTCCCATCTGTGTGACCCTAGGCAAGTCCTTTAACTGTTCTCAGCCTCATTTTTCCTTATCTGTAAAATGAGTACTTGCCTCACAGGATTGTTTTGAGGTTCAGATGAAAAAAATAGGCTAAATATTTTGCAAATCTGGGGCACCTAGGTGGTGCAGTGGATAGAGCACCGGCCCTGAAGTCAGGAAGACCTGAGTTCAAATCTGGCCTCAGACCAAACACTTGGCACTTACTAGCTGTGTGACCCTGGGCAAGTCACTTAACCCTGATTTCCTTGCCAAAAAAAATAAAAATTTAAAAAATTAAAAAAAATATATAAATATATATAAATAAAATCTGTCTGAGGCCAGATTTGAACTTGGGTTCTCCTGACTCCAAGGTTGGAACTCTATCCACTGCACCACCTAGCTGCCCCTTATTCATATATCAGTGATGCAGTCTATGCTTTTGATATATGAAATAAACCTTTGTTTAGAGACCCTTGAGAAGGGTAATTAGTATCAAAACACAACTGATGTCTGCATGTGAGAAAAGAATTAAAAAATCCACAAATAATAGAAAAATAGTCTTGTGAAACTTTCTCCACACATGTGGAATCTGTTTCATAGGATCATAGATTTGAAACTGGAAATTTAAGCACATATTTTTCTGTTGTTTTTCAAGGTAGTACTACTCCTGCCACTTAATCAATACCTTACTATAGATTTCCTTTTGTTCCAGCTGAAAAGCTTCTCTGGTGATTAATTGAAAAGATGTGTATAGTACTTTGTTTGGATTCATAGTTGACCCAGGTGGTCTAGATTAGAAAGCTATTCTGTGCTGTAGTTTTATTTAATTTTTGAGTTAATAATAGAAATAGTAGTATCCCTTAATGAGTTTTACTAAGATATGAAGTTTTTGTAAATAATTTTACAAATTGTGAGTAGGGAGCAAATAATTTTTTCTATCTACTTTAATTAGAAAATATCACATCAAGTCCACAAATATTTATTAAGCACCTACCGCATTGCTAAGTACTGGAAATACTAAGAAAAGCAAAAAGATAGTCCCTGCTTTCAAGGCACTACTAGCGGAGTCAAAATGCAAATAACCATGTACAAACAAGAAGTATACAGGATAAATTGTGGGAAGGTAAGATTAAGTGAGATCAGGAAAGGCTTCTTTTGTAAAAGGTGGGGTTTTAGCTGGGACTTGAAAGAAGCCAGGGAGACCAGGCAGCCGAGATGAGGCAGAGGTAGGGAGTTGCAGGGAATTAGTCTCTCAGGTCCTTGAGGTTGTAAATCTGTAAATCCTAGAAAGGACATGGATAAAAATTGTATGGGATGAGAAGACCCAGAGGTGGAGATGAGGAAGGAAAGGGTAACAGGCCTGAGTGACTGAGAGGATGGAAATGTGCTCCACAGCAATAGGAAATTTAGGGAGAGAGGAGGGCTTCGAGTTTAAGATACCACATCCAGTTCAAGCTATCCAATAGGCAGTTGGAGGTGAGGATATTGAGGATAATTACCTCTGCTAGTTACTTTTAATTAATAGCAAATGATTATGGCTTAAAAAAAATTTGTTTAGCATCATAACAACTTAAATTAATGAGAAATGTAGTAATCAGTCACTAACAATAATAATGAGTTGCCTTGAATAAATACAAAATTTTGGGGTTGGATAAGCAGGAAAAGTCCTAATTTTTCAAATCAGCAATGAAATGGTATTGTTTTGTTTTTCTGGGACTTTACATATTTGTAACAAGAGAAGACTTCTCAGTGAGAAGGGAACCAGGATGTAGTAGGTTAGTAGGTAGTGATAGATAAGCCCCCCCCCCCAGAAGGATATAACAATAAAACATTTTTTTCCTAAAATACACAGAAAACAAAAAGTATGGAAGAGGACCTACACAAATAGAGCAGTTTTGTTAATATCCTCATAAATTTTACATAGCTGTGTATTTAATATACATATTTGTGTATAGTTTCATATATTAAAGCATCTTAAGTATCTTGTTCTTTTTTGTAGAAATGTTTGCATTTGATGATTAATTTCATAGTAAATAAAAAATTTAAAAGGAACAATAAAAATGTAATTGTTCAATATTTTATATTTCAGGGTGGAGCTGTAGCAGGAAATGTGGCTCATATACTTGACTCAAATCATGGAAAGGTTGGTTTTCCCCTTGTTGCAAAGAAATATTCCACCTTGATATAAATCAAGTTAATATAAGATAATTAAATGACTTTCAGATGTGATGTAGAAGAAATGGCATATCATTAACATGTTGCCATGAGAGACGTGCAATTTTAAAAGTAGATTATTTAACACTTTTTTATTATCCAGAAGGCCTTACTATATACTGCAGTCAATCAGTTGGCAATGGGAAGCAATTCAGCAGAAGATGAAAAAAATGATCCACTGAAGACCGTTCAGAAGGCAGTCCTATTATCTCCAGGTGAATAACATAAAAATTACATAATTCATGACAGCATCTTTAATAATTAACACTCCAGAATTGCAAAGGATTTTTATGAGTTTTTCCCCTAACATTTTAGCACATTATTTGTTTATATGCAAATGATACTGATAACTAAAAATGGTTTTTAATCTCTTCATTAAAACAGACCTACTAGAACCTGTACTTAGAAATATACTTTGTTAGTAGCTATTAAAAAGTTAATTTTACTTTTAAAGTACTATGGTTTTATTTAGAGCATATAGAATAACTAAGTCAAATGAGCTGTTCCCCCCCCCCCTTTTTTTTTGGTGAGGAAATCAGGGTTCAGTGACTTGCCCAGGGTCGCAGAGCTAATAAGTGTCAAGTGTCTGAGGCCAGATTTGAACTCAGGTCCTCCTGACTCCATGGTCTGAGCTCTATTTGTTGTGCCACCTAGCTGCCCCATCTCCCACTTTTTTTCTAGTAGTTTAAATTAAAGAGGTTTTATTACAGATGTTTAAGTTGTTTTCTGTATGTGTGTTTAGTCATAATTGAGGGAGGGTGGTGTTAGCTCCTTGAAGGAAAAGATTATCATTGTGGTTTAAAAAAAAAAAAGATTTATCAAGCACCTACTATGTGCACAATACTGTTAGTGATAATAATGTAAAGGTCCAAGAGAGCTTATTGTTTGTGCCAATGGGCACTCTTAATCCTGACCAGCAATCTCACAGTAAATTTGTTAGAGGAATAGACTTTAGAGCTAGAAGGAATATGAAGAATCTTCTATTCCCACCTCCTTATAGTACAGATGAGGAAACAGCCCCAGAGTGCTAAGTGAAGTCACTTAACCAAGGGCATTTGACTAGTGTTCTTTAACTATGTCTTTTTGTTGTAAAAGAACACTAACTCATAGCCACACCATTGTAATTATAATGGGAAATGCTAAAGGAACGAGCATTTATATGCCAGGCAGTGTGCTAAATACTTTACAATTAGCATCTCATTTGATCCTTATAACGATCCCATGATGTAAGTATTATCTTCATTTTACAGTTGAGGAAACTAAGGTAGACAGAAGTTAAATGACATGTCTAGGGTCACACAGCTAGTAAATGCCTGAGACTGAATTTGAATTTGGGTCTTCCTGACTGTAAGCCCAGCATTCTAATGGGCCAACAACTGTCTATAATGACCAATAATGACCATTTAGGCTTTGCTGCGGCCCCCCC